CAAGGTGGGCGAACTGTGGAGGTGGTGCTATCTGGGTATGAGGGTTGGGCAGTTTGGCTGGAAGGAAGGACACAGAATTGTCGGAAGTCCTCTGTGGCGTTTTCATTCGATGCTATACCTCGTCCTGAGAGCTTGCGAAAAGTGGGGTCCCCAACCCTGTAAGTCCCTGGGTTCCGCGAATTTCTGGAAGGTGAAGGTCCCACTATTCGAGAGACTGTATCTCCGTCAAACCTGGTCCGGGGGAAAGAAACAGCAGCTGCGGGTCTGATCCCCCCTCAACTCTTCAGAACGTTGGTGTGCCCACCGACAACCAAACCGGGCATCGCCTTCAAGGCAGAAACCCGTCTCAAGCACATAGTAGGCTTTAATATCTGAGGTACGAGGTTTCAACCCAAGACCTAATGGTTTAATCTCACTTTCGCCTCATGCCAGGTGCTGCCCCTCTTCCCGCCCATGTTCCATAAGTGGTTCCTCAGCTCGTTCGCGGAGCCCGCGAGCTGGTTCCGCGCGCGCCTCGCGTTCGCGCACACGGCCGCGGTGTGGTCCATGGTGGGGCACATCCTGGGCCTGGGCGATCGTCACGGGGAGAACATTCTGCTCGACAGTGGCACCGGCGACTGCGTGCACGTCGACTTCAGCTGCCTCTTTGACAAGGGCCTGCAGCTCGAGAAGCCGGAGATGGTGCCGTTCCGGCTGACGCAGGTGAGCGGAACCGGAACAGCGTGGTGGGGCAGGAGATGGTGGTGGTCGTCGCTGGATCGGAGGGAGCTGTTCTTGGACAGACTGTCTGGAGCAGGATCACAAAACGTTTGAGTTGGGACGCTGGATTCCCCGAATCGGGTCAGATAGTCCAGCGCCGTCTCGTAGAGAGGAGGGATCTGGCCGCCCTTAAGCAAGCGACAGTGAGGTTCGTGTCAGGCGTTCAAAGTCCTCCTTTCACTAAAGGTTGTTCAACCCACAGTCAAAACTAATAGAGCGTCCCTTTATAAACTGACGACAGAACCTCAAATACGCCAAAAGTACCTCACCTCAACCAAAAATGTATGTCAAACTTCTCTCCTAACTTCAAGATTGTCCTCTCGCGCAGAACATGGTCGACGGCCTTGGCGTGACCGGCTACGAGGGCGTCTTCATCCGGGTGTGCGAGATCACGCTGTCGGTTCTGCGGTCCCACCGCGAGAGCCTGATGAGCGTCCTCGAAACCTTCATCCACGACCCGCTCGTCGAATGGACCAAGCTGCACAAGTCCAGCACTGTCGAAGTTCAAAACCCGCAGGTGAGATCCTTGGAATAAAAACGCTTTTGACGTTTTTGACGAAGACCTGGGCAGAAGGATCAGGAGCATCACTTGTCAAGGAACCCAGCGCATTCTTCATTCAGCCCGTCACGACGGACTCAACAACACTGGGCGCTTTGTTCACTCTTGCTCACTCTGTCTTCGGCTTGTTCTATGATGCCGTCACTGGGTTTTTGAAAGGCCGCTGATCTTCTGCTGGAGGAGTTGAAACCGACCTGGATTGGCCCCTCATCTGCGGCCGTTGTTTCAAAAATCTGTCGGTTTTAATCCCTCTCTCGTTTTCTTCAGGCACATCGCGCAATGTCGAACATTGAGGCGCGCCTGCAAGGCGTAGTGGTAGGAGTTGGCGCCGCTCCCAGTCTGCCTCTCAGCGTCGAAGGCCAAGCTCACCGTTTGATACAAGAAGCCGTCTCCCTTGAAAACCTGGGCAAAATGTACATTTGGTGGATGCCATGGTTTTGAGGGGCCAACAGCTTCGAAGTTGATGCTGGCTAAGTAAAGAAGCGAGTCTTCTTGTAGATAATGGCTCGCACGAGACCCCCCTCCAAACTGTGCAGTACAGCGTTGTCACTGAGCACAGCCAAATTGAACTGCACGCGGTTTAGAATATCGAACATGTTGCTCGCGAACATGGCCTGGAAAAACTCCGTCTTTCAAAACTCCTGCAGGCAATTCAGTCATGCGGTGCGGTGCGTCTGTGGAATACAAGGCTATGCTTGATGCGCGGCACTGGCCTAGAGTGATTGGACTGAGTCAATATCAGGCCCCGCATTCCAGTTCTCCCGGCAAGCTGGAAACGGTAAACATGAAAATGCATTATGCGCACTGAGGCTGTGTGCATGAGCATCCTGAGAATGAGCGATCACAGCTTAACGAAGTCATGTGATTAGCAGCAATCAATTGTAGAGCTCGCTGGAGCTCGTTGGATCAAATTTCAGTCGTGCACTGCGCAACCAGTTGCAGAACAGTCTCAAATTAAGGTCGTTTCAACGCACATGCACTTAGACTTGAATACTTAGCTAGCTGTACGGCGCGGCGGCTAGCTATAGCTGACGTTGCAAGCAGTACAGCAGATTGACACGTGCGTGGCGCTCAGTATGACGGCCCTCGACATGTGAACGTCGCTTAAATGATCCCATGCATCAAAAATGCTCAAGCTCATGCTCATGAGCTCAGCTAGCAATCCTGGACGTGTCTGGCGGGTATCTCGTGCAATCAGGTGAAGATTGCCGCCCATTAAGAAGGGTCGGACGGGATAACCTGGATTCATTCTGCACAAAACAATGAATCAAGTACACTAATGTCAGCAAAGTACTGTCTATGAAGGGGATAAACTGCGTGGTTAATTAACGAATCGTGGTACGTGGCGGCCCCCAGCTAAGCAATAAATACACGCCGTGCTGTCCTCAGCGGGTTAACGCGTAACGAAGTCCTACACCAAGCTGACACCCGTAGAGACTTCCGTAGACCTTAAGACTTTCTAAATCGACCGCTTGAGATATGATTTCTCAACCACGGGGTTCACATCCGTACAGCTAGATGCTACTGACGACGTCACGTAGCAATTGAAGCCAATAACATAGTAAAAGCTGGTCGAAACACTTACTTAACCAAGCCTACGGCTACAAAACCCCTAGTAAACTTCGGGCGGCAGGCCCAAACAGTTTGCACCTGCAGTATACACCTCCACTTCCAACCATCCCACAGTAATCAGGATTTTCATTGACCGGCAATTTGCTATCGTAGTTATCCTATAACACAGAATAAGCTGCACAAGGTGCTTCCTCAACGATACGCCCTCGTCAAGCCTGACTGGACCCGCATAAAATGATGAGCTATCCTGTTCAATCCGCATAAACTAGGAGCTAAACGGAGTTAAGTCTGCTCCTGGGAGATCGCTGGCTCTTCTGTTGGCGCAGACGGCGCATAAGCTGCCCCATGGTGCACTCCTTTCAGTGCCTCGAGCATCCGTACATCTGCGAGGTACTGCCAAAGCGCCGGGTGCGTCAACGGGCCACGTGGCAGCACGGACCCCGCTGATTGACCGGCAAGTTGACTAAGAGCGTGCAGGTGCAGCAGAGGGAGATGCGCCTGCAAACAGGGTTGAAGCAGCACTTCTGAATCCGGATCTCCCAGCATCGTCGGACGCTTTGTGCCACCGGACCCGACCAATATAAAAAGCCCGAAAACGGATTCAGGTTTCACTTCTGAAAAAGGAAAGGCTTTGGTCACTTGGGGGCCTTGGGGACCTTATGAGGAATGCAGAGCGGGATGACTTTCGAAGCGAGAATGAGCTCGAAAACGGCCCATCAGACGTTCTGTAACGTTATGAAAGTACCTTTATCAGCGTAGCGTGTCACTCTGTCGAACGATAGGCAAGCGACATCGACAACCAAGTCCAAAGAGTGACTTATGGCAATCCTCGACGGCTGTGCAGTCTCCAAAGGAAACAACAATCTTAACACTTACGAAGAATGCCAATGCTGCACATCCGTGTAGCACTCACCCGTTCCAGTGCTTTTGGATCCGCGGAAGCGACGGCTCCCCTCTCTTGGGCCCCCCAATTCCCAGTGCCGCCAGCCGCGGCGCTCGAAGCCGCGGGCGCTTGCGCGCGCGACCAGAACGTTTGGGCCAACTGGAAGGCGGCCAGCTGACGTGCGCGCTCCGTCAGCAGCAAATCCTGTCTCATGAGGGAGAGGCTTCCTGACACCGGAGACCCTAGGTACGGCAGCTCAGGGGTACCGGACAGGTGTCCGAAAGAAGGTGCGAGTCCGGCCCTTGGCGACAGCTGTGCGCCTGCTGACGTCACGACTGACGTGTGGAAGCTCGGCGGTGCGAAGAGGGAGGGTGTGACGGCAGCTGGGCGGGACGAGGTTGTGACCCGGGGACTGGCAGAGGAGTACGTCTGCGAGCAGTCGGGAGCAGTGAACCTGGGGCTCAGCGTCGAGCGTGATTCGGTTCCCAACTGGGAGAGATAGGAGAGTCTTGGAGGAGGCGGAATTTCAGCGGGAGTCGATGGTCCTGCAGAAGGAGAAGTTCGAACTTATCATAGGGAGAGGTGAAGTACAAAGACTAGACTTGTGGACTGGCTGGTTCGAGAAGATTCATCTGGGTCTATAATCTGCGCGTCTCGTTGAATGTATTACAACTTGGTTGAGAGGATGAAAGTACAACGTTCCGATCTCATGCTGTCTACCTTTCCCTTCGACAACATGGAGAGCAAGGTGGAGAAGCGGGTTTGATCTTCGTCAGAAGGATGTTAACGCAGAAGAACCATTGGTCAACCGACAGTCTTGTCCAACCTTCAACAGGAACAAAAGCGTAAGTGAAGTACCGGCGAGCCGACCTTGGAGGGTGAGAGCTTGATCCATCTGAATGTCTCCACCGGCTTCTTCGCAGGGAAGAGAGAAGTTGGTAACGATGTTGTGGCATCGGCTGGACCGGAGGAGAGCTCTATCGTAGGCCCTGGAAAGCAAAAGACGAGAAGACGAAACGTGTTGGGGAAAAGGTTTGATGGAAGAAGCACGGATTATTTTGGGTTTGGAGGGACCATTTACAATAGCTAACACGCATTGCAGAGGCCGAATCAACTGGATTTTGAAATCCTGAATCATCCACTCAATTAACAAGGGCAAGGTTTGTTACAAAAGTGGAAGTAAAGAACGTTATCCTGACAGCCTATGAAACAGCGGACCACAGCAACGGAATCCAATCTGTTCACCCTCGTCCATTGACGAGATAAACGTATACGGTCACTCAGCAGACAATAAACCCTGCAAAGTAACTCACATCGCGGCTTCCTCCTCTGTATCAAAGAGCCCCAAGTAGATGTATTTCTTCCCCGGCCCCATCTGGCCCAGCCGAGCTTCCCAACGGCCGCACGTGTGCAGGCTTACGCCTCGATAGCGGCTGCTGCCCCGGGTGAACCAAGGGCTCTCACGTCTTAGCGCGTGGATGAAGTTCTCTTTGCTCAGATGAGCCGTCTGATGAGCAGAAAACAAGACAGTCACCAATCAAAAGGATGTTGGATCTGGTGTCATTCGTATGATTTCTTTGATGCTTGTAAGGTTAGAAAGCAAAACCAAGCATTCTGGAAAGGGCATCCGAGAAATCAGGAATCCACCGAAGCAAGCACCTGTCTGGCGAGGCATCTTGTTGAACAGTGCCACATCGAAGGCAGTCTTCAGACAGAAGTGCTTGCCTCCCGTATGTGGTCTTCGTATTCGTGCAACGGGAAGTTGATGTCGGCGGCAGGGCCCCTAAACCGTACAGCTGCCTTGTCGTAAGCACGTGCTGCATCATCCGCGTTATCATATCCTCCTGCAAAAGAAAGTGCAGATTAAGACAATACACAGTTCGATGAGCCATGCAGAATGAAAGAAAGATCCTGGAGACTTCCTGATTCAAAGCCTCTCCATTTGCAATCAAGGAACACCTTTCGTTGATGTAATCATTCAAGCCAGACAGTAAAGACTCGGAGGGTCGAAACTTCTAGCTTACCAAGGTATACCTGCTTCCCACTGTCCCTGTTGGAAACGATGAAAAACTATCAGTCATACCATCATCAAGGGGCGTTTGCATAGTCGGCTAGTCACTGAGCGAAGTGGCATATATCATTTTTGACTTGAACTAGACGAATCTCTGACAGCAAGTAAATTTGTATTGATAGTAAAGGATAATGATGGCATCTTCTTGACTTAATCTACTCTGCATGTAGATTCTATTATTGTGGAAGCATCACGTTAACTTACCAAATATGTGCTTCCCATCTTGACGTGCGGCTGAATGTTACCCCTGTATACCCGGAGCTATTTGACTGAGGGCCCCTTCGAGTCCGTTTCGGGGACATGATATTCGCATCTTTCACACCTGGAAGTTGGTGGGATTCATCTGCTTTCACTTTGTCAGCGGTTTCCATAGCTTCATACGGCTTCCGTAAGGACGTCTTGACGGACTTTCCTCGTTTCCTTCCTTTTCCTTGCTGAAGAGAAGCATCCTCGACCAAATTGCGCTTACTGGGGGGCGATGAATCTGGGGAGAGAATCTGATCAGGCTCTTCATGCTCTGAACCATTTACCCCTGGCCTTTCCTTTCTGCTTGTACTGCCAACCTCGAGCCTTAAATCCAAGTCTAAGCTGGACTCGTCCGAACTGCTCATGTCAAAAACGCTCTTACTTCCTCCCTGAACAGGGGAATCATCGTTGCAAGTAGCGCTGTTGAGGTCTGTCGGCCCCGGAAATCTTCCAGTACCGATTCTCAGCTCGCATAGAGCAAGGGCTGCGTCTTTATCAATCTCTTCGAATGTCTTACAGGAGGTAGAGCCAGGTGAGTGAGCATTAATCTGACGTAAAAACTCCTGCGTCTCCATCGGTTCTGTGGCCTTGTCCATCCTTTAACGGCATGCAGAACGTTCTCTACCGTTTTTGAAGTTACCAGAGAAGTTACCAGAGAAGCGGAAGTGCGGACATCCCTTCCTCCAGCAGATCAGCTCTCCACTACTTTCTCGGCCTCACAGAAGCCTCCCGGAAACGAGGCTCTCCACCGCTTTCGTTGTGTATTATTCGCTCACGACATGACCGATCCTGGAAAGCCTCTTGTTGAATCGAGCAAGCCGGTTTAAAGAGCGCACGAGTGGCTTCGTGCAGTCCCTCAATAGACTCCTACCTTTTTTCTCTTCTGAGCTATATTTCGTTTCCTCCTTGCCAGTATTTCCATCAGCTACATGCATCTGCGTTTCCACCTCTCCTTCGCCTCCCATAGTATCAGCTAAGAACAAAGGCGAAGCTGAATCTCAAAGCACGCAGCTTCACCTCTTGACGGGACTTACTGATGGCTTAACGAAGACACCACGCGGCACGTACTTACGCGAGCACCTTGCTACCTAAAATTCTCGACGCTCCTTACGGTCAGTTCGAGAAGCTTGTGGTGACCACACCGATGAGCATAACACGAGGCTTGTCGAAGACTCACCAATCAAATTCAAAACCTGCTTCCAAAATTTTCTTGGACTGGAACGGCTCGATTCTTGGATCAAACGGTCACTTGCATCCGATGGTCTGCAGAAGTTTCTTGCAGACTAAGAAGCTTTAGGATGTGACCGTGATTTGATGTTCTCTGATAGTTCTAGAATGAAGCGGCACGAATCCATGATCCAGCTCAGCTTGCTGAGGTGTTGAGGCGCACGACAGTGTCATCGAAAAGACAATAACGGAACCTTTCAAAAGGTCGACATTCGTATCAGCTTACCATTCTTATCCAGTTCTTCGAGACAGAGATTGTCTGTATCAATGACCTGGATCTAACGGCTATCAACCGCAGAAAAGCAAGCGGTGACTCTTTCTGCCAAAAGATACCCTTAAGGCCTAAATTTTGACGTGGACAGCACGGAGCTGAGTTGCCCTCCAATCATGGACCTTTCCTGAGACATGAGCTGGAGCCAATATTATGGTTTTGCAGAGTTTTACAAGTGAAGGCGGTGGCCATGGACCACGAGCAAGCTTGGTAGATATGTCAGGAGCAGTCACATCAAGCTGAATGTGACCATTTTTGAAATAAGCGAGGTCGCCATGCGAGCCAGTGGCAAATTGCATTGCAAACCGTGACGTCGTGCAATCAATCGCGCCAGCTTTTCGCACAGGCGGACATACGGCCAACTGGATAGGCAAAGACTTCCCGGACTCGAGAGATCAAAATCAACGGCCAGCGAGCCCTTGGATCTCGAGAGCTGATATCAGAGGGGGGTCAAGAAGAGTCGGTGATTTTACGTCGCGACAATTCAGGAATAGTAAGCTCAAGGAATAGTAAGCTCAAACCAAACACACAAAACCTAACCTATGGAAATTACCCGCTCCGCACCCGCACCCACCCTTAAAACCCCCAAATTAACCGTACCCGTCCCAGGCTGGTGATCTTCTTATTCATGAAGCTTTTTATCCCTGAAGTGTTACGGTATCGTGATTTTGGGACCAGGGCCGGGGATGTTAATGGAAGGGCTGACGTGGCGAGGTATAGGGTTTTGCACCGTGGCTTCCCGATCGATGATAGGTTGGAAGAAGCCTAGCCCAGGGTTTCGCCCCTAAACCCCGCCACGTCAGCTCTTCCAACAGCGGTCCCTGGCCCCGGTCCCGATGCTGCTGATTCTTCTTGACCCCGACCTCTGTCACTGTTGAGAGAGCCACGATTGCGACAGCCAAGAAGGCGCCTTGTCTCTCGATTGAGAGACCGGGATGGTATCAAGTCCAATGGATGACGGCAGAGGTATAACTATCAACCCGTTGATTAATTGCAAGGAATCTCATCCGACGGTCAAAGGGAGGCCGAGATTGGGGCTGATTGAGAACTGTGACACGTGGACAAAAGGTCTGTGTCGGCTCGAAATCCAGGTATCGTCAGTACCGGTAACTAGTTGGCAGCGCGAGCTTAAAATTTGCAAACCTCAAGCTTCAACGTTGCAGAAGTAGCCCCTGGCATTTTGTGACCCTACGTTCAAATAGCGTCCCATTCTCCCGGTTCTGTCAGTCGGTGTCAGTCGTTATCGCTATCTAGTTCTGCTCCACGCGCAACGTTCGGAGCAACCATGCCTAGCTAATCGACATCAAGATAGCCCTCTGACAATGAAGGGACGTCAATCAGGCCATCTTTCAGTGATCAATCGGCCTGCTAAAAAGAGTGGTCAATTTGCAAAGCACAGAACATTCGTAGATGAAGAGGTGAGATCATTGAGGGTCAACGTCGATCCAGCCGAATGAGACGGATGCAGACATTCGAAGTGTAAGGGACACCTCTCAGGCGGCAATCGTTTCTTTGTCAGACTGCAAGCGTTCAAAAGGACAGTGGGAAGTGTTTCGTGCGCATACTCGAGCTTGGTAACGCAACCTCGTCTGAACGGCCAGGACCGGGAAGAAGTACAACTCGCACAGCACGAGCCCCTGCAGTCACTAGCCCTTCACTTTTCAAATAAGCTCCGACCCTTCCCTGTCCGCTTCCACTTCTACTTTGTGGCGCAGAAAGGCTACGGATTCGCCGTAGGTTAGCAACCCGCTCCACCTTCCCATTCTGCCGGCGAGAAGGTCCCCAATCCCTTTTCGACGAGACCTGCAAGTGCTTCCGAGTTTGGACTCATAAAGAATACTCAACTTATGGAGAAGGCTCGCAGCGCCGATTGCTCCCCTGCTTGCAACTGCAAAAACGGCTGCTCCTGCGGGGACAAGTTTCAGTGCAGCGATTGTCCGGGTAGCAAGGCCAAAGGGGCTGTGGATGCAGCCAAAATGTGCTGCGGAGAGGGTTGCAACTGCCCCCTTCCTTGCAGTTACGGCGACAATTGCGCTTGCGCTTCATGCAAGGAGACGAAGGGTGGCTGCAACAACCCAAACTGCAACTGTGGGCCTAATTGCCCGTGCGGCGAGGCGTGCACTTGTGACTAGGCCCCAGATCTAGCAGATACACCGGGGCGGCTGCCCGAGGGGTCTGAAAGGACGAGAGGAAAAGTGGTTGGGAGATACTGGATGCCAGTGTCAGCATGTCATCATGCACCTTGTTTGTAAGCAGATTGTTAGACATCAAAACCGCAACTTTCGCGGCTACTAGGCAAGTTCTGTCCTGTTGCTTAGGAGAGCTAGAAACTCAGAAGCATCTTAGGCTCTGTACTTGTTGGTGGCAAAGCTTTCGATAAACGGGCTACCAAGATCGAAATTGTACAGAACCATAGTATTTACATTGCATCGATCAGCCATGGTAACTTTACTAAACTGATCAAAGAGACATGGGTTTCATAGAAACATAGGCATCTACTGTTTGTGATGAAACCCCCAGGTCTTTGAAGTTCTACCGCCTTTTATCGCTGTCTCTGATTTATGTTGATGGGATTGTGTCCATCGAAGATTTCGCGACACATGATCTATCATGAAAAAGTCAGTTCCTCGCCTTCAAAGAACTTTACATGTGAGGATAACGTCATGACTGCAAGCATATCTCCAGGCTTTTGGTGATTGAGGCAGCTCTTGAAGTTCTTCAACAAATCATTCGAGCAAAAGCTCGCGTGATGAGCTAGACTGGTACATTACATTTGATATCCTAATCTTTGTTCTGCTCGGTCGTAGCTGAGATGGTCACGGTCTTCCGCTTGCCATAGCCCGCCGAGATTCCATGTCGGTCTCGTTCCGGAAAAGAGAACTCTGTGCCAGACTGTCAGATCGTGCCTACTTGTGGCCAACACGTGAAACCGGCCATGATATTCTCTTTAATTCGTAACGGGAACTAAGAGGTGCCAAGATCTGAGGATCCCGTACCTCGTATGTTGTATGGAGCAAATTTCCTGCCCTTGCATAAAATGAGCGAGAAGGAGGCTGATGAGGTGCTCCGAAAAGCTGCCTCTAACCTACGAACCAGTGCACCTTCACTGACGCAGGTGCTGTGTCAAGCACGTTCCTGCATCTTGATTTGGGCCTCTTATGTGTCATTCATCACGTTCAGAGCTTGCGGTCTTGAAGCACCAAACAGATTACATACCGCATGTGCCTCCAATCATGGGAAACGTAGCGTTCAAAGTGGTCTATCGTTAAGGTTGAGGGATGAGGCAAGATCTCCGGCATTTCTGACCATGACCGTCCCCTTGCACCCTCTAGCGTCTGGTCATTCTTTATCAGGAGGGGGCGAAATGATATGAGCTGCAAATGTTGCCGGTCTCGCGGACTTATGATACTTATTGGAAGCTAAAAGGTAATGAACCATGTCCGATCTTCTAAAGCGGTCCACTTATCTCGCGAGGATTGTGCATCGGTATCTTTGTTTGCAACAATGTCACCCGAAACTGTAACTTGCGCTAGATATGGTCATGGTGGCGTCGAAAGATACTGATGCCTTGTGTGCACAGGGACTAAGGCATACTTTTGAGTATCATAGAAGCAGCCAACTTAGATTCGAGGTGTTATCAACATGTAGAAAGCAAACCTTATCATTTCAAACACTTGTGGATAGGATACGAGCCAACTACTTCGACCAGGTTCCTTTGTTACACCAATCGATCCGAGACTGCACCATTAGTGCGACTTTGTAACGTTCACCAAGCGGGCTGTGGCGACTTTAATCAGACATAGTCCTTGGGCTCACGTCTACCAGAGTTCAGAGCATCAGAAGCAACTCCTAGCCGATTAAGCGCTGATTTTGGTGCCCAAAATGCTAGCTACAACCCTATCCAACAACTGAAGCCCACGTTTTCCAATACAATCCAACAAAGCTTCTATTTTAAGTTGCGCTGCGCGCGTCGCAAGCCTCCGTTAACCGCATCAATGCGGATTCGCACCGGAAGTGTTCACACCGTTCTGCAACGCCGCCGGGAGTATTTCAGAGCGGCCGCCCGGTACCGGGGTACCATTACTGCGCCCTTGAGAGTGACTGTTAATCCGGTTGCCAGCTTCCGGCGGAAACTGGGAAGGCGGTGCGGCACGCGGCATGCCCTGGTGGAAGATTCCGCGCGGTACCGCTCCGTTAGTCGGGGGAATGGTTGGCAGGTAAAGACTCGTGGTGGCCGGAAAAGTCGCACGGTTGGGCTGCCCGGTGGCACCGGGGTAGCGGGCCTACAGCAGTAATCGAAAACATTGTCAATCAGACACAGTAGTTATGCCAGATTTGGTTCGTAAGGGCTTCAGCTGTGCGGAAATACTCCTCAGGTCCGCTTCGGCAGCTACCTACTAGCTTTGAGATGGTACCGCGCTGCAAGGAACTTTCAGGCAGAATTGGAGAGCCTACTTGAGCGGGATGAGCGCTTGAGAGGTCACGGCAGACAGTGCAGATTCGACTCGTCCTCTTCGCTGGAACGGTCAGGGAAACCTTCTTCGGGTTTCGAACGCGGGGTGCCGGGCGCGAGTTACCTTAGGTGGCGCGCAAATGGAATCACAACTGCAGGTTGACATGGATTTTTGTACGAACAAAACAAACGCAGCTCTTCAAGTCAAAAGAACCATATAATCATATGTTCTGCTCACCTGTAGCCCTGCAATGAGTTCCACCAGTTTGTTGATGTCTCCGCGCATCTCCTGACGGTCCAGGAAGATTGCCTCCAGGCGGCCACGTGCCTCTTCCAGGGCGCGGGCGATGTCAGTCTCCAGAGCAGTGGTTGTGTCCTCGAGCTTCTTCTGGAGGCTGCACAAGACGTAGAGAAAGAGGTGAATCCTTTGACTCTTGCATGTGTCTTCGATGCTCGGCACATCACGAACGGAAGCATATAGTATTGCATCGGACCTTTCCTCCGAGAGTTCAATGCAATGAGAACAAATGCTCGATGCAATGATCGAAAGCGGATCCGGGGAGGAATATCTTCGAGAATCATGCCGGACCTACAAGAGTTTTGGGAACGAACACAAAAGCGAAGCAGGTTAAGAATCTCAGAGATGCCTCAGCAAGGGCGATGATGCTGTAGCGGACAGGTAAGGTCGCTTTCAATACCACAAGAAAGGCCCCTCTGCGAAACGGGCATCCGGAATGAGGCTTGCCAACAATCTAGCTTCTCTTGCCAAATCCATTCCACCAGATTTTCTTCTCCATGGATCTTCCAAAAAAAGACCATTGTTTAAGTTACCATATTTTGTTCGGATCCCGAGGAACGAAAAAAACCGATCGTAATCCCTCACTCAGAGATCTTCTTCTCCAGCCCAGCCGCCCGCTTGTCCGCCTCCCCTTTCACACTCTCCACCCGCGCCTCTATTTCTTCGCGCGCGCGCTGCTCTCGCTCCTTAATCTCCTCCTTCTCCACCTCGGCCGCCCTTTTGCCCTCGGTCTCCGCAGCCTTACGCGCGGCCGCGTCGTCCCTGACCGCGGCCGCCTGGCGCTGCTGCTCGTCCCTCACCTCGGCAAGCTCGTCGCGGATGGACTGGATGCTCTGCCGGACGAGCTGCACAGAAAGCGGACGTCCGAAATCAGGAGCACGTGCAATGTTGGCGACTTTGTCTGCGAGATGTGGTCACTGCGCCCTATGCTTCTGTTTCTTCTTAATATTCGAAACGGCATCCAAGCAATATTTTGACAGACCCGGTCAAGCATATTTTGGAGCGGAATTGTGACCGAGTATTCTTGAAAGAATCAACCGATGGTAGCAAAAAGTTCTTGCTACCATCGTAGCAAGAACTTCGTTTCAACTGCCCAAACAGCTTCTGCAAACAGGATTCTCGAAGCCTCAATCGACCGGCGTCTCCTAAAACCGCGGCATCACAGAACAGAGTCAGCTGAGACTACTGTAACAATACCGCTGAAGGTGATGAAGGGAGCCGTAAGGCAAAGAAGGCTTGGCATGAAGTGTACCTGCACGCGCCTCCTCGCGCGCTCCTCCACTCGCCCGACCTCCTCCTTGACCTCGTCGAGCGCGCCGCGCGCGTCCTTCTCGCGCGTCTCCTCGCGCTGGATCGCGCGGCGCTCGGCGTTCTTCACCTTCTGGCTCAGCCTCTGGACCTCCTCCCGTAAGCCCGACACGCTCGCGCGCAGGTCCTTTGCCTCCTTGCTCGCTTTCTTAGCTTCAGCCACGTCTTGAGGAGTCCTTTGAGGAGGAGGAGATCAGAGTGTTCAAAGGATGCTGTTGCGCCAGCTTTGCCTGAACTGAGGTTTTGTGACAGATGCGTCGTATATCCAGAACGTTGTTGCAGGTAACCTTGCATCCGTCCTCAGAGCTCAAATGCTCAAAGAATTCATCAGGAACATGCGAATGGCAACTCGGTTTTTGACTCTCACAGACGACATTCTCTGTAAACGGGTTTTATATGCGCCATCCGTCAGTGACTCAGCTCTCGAGCGGCTCCCACTTTCCAGCATCGTTTTAGAAGCACTCCTATAACGGCTACAGAAGCCTCCTCTTCAAGCTTAAACGGGGCAAATATTTGCTTTCCTCTGTATCACACCCGGTTTTCCGCTCACTTCGTGATCTGCGCGGCGGCCGCGCCGCCGACGTGCAGGTGGTTGGGCCACATGGCGGGGTTGAGCGGGACGAGCATGGGGCTGGTGGGGTCGAGGCCCGCGGTCTTGCGCAGCTCCAGCAGGTGCTCCGCCTCCAGCCAGTACTCCATGTGGCCCTCCGGGTTGTGCCGCCGCCGGAACCGCTCGTCGGTGCCCACCACCGTGTCCGTCATGTGCTGGGAACCGCGAATAATACGGTTAGCGTTTGAAGTATTGGTGTCATACACCGAAAAGAGAAGGGTTAGCGGAGCACTTCTGAAGCATGGCTGGGTCATTGGTGGTGCTAGAAAAGTGCTTCTGAAGCTTCTTGGAAGTCGAGGAGCCGTGTAGTAAAGACGGATGCTTAGACGAGGGTACAGCCTTGACAGGTGTTTAACAATGCATTCAGAAGATTGTCTGCCATAGCCCGAATGTTAGTACTCTGAAATACGTTCAACTCCTTTGGGTGGACACTCGAATGCTCCAATAAGCTTCTGACAGTGCGCCGAAGGCACCTTCAAGCGTCGGAAGCATTCAACAAGACAATCGACCCCGCTGAACTTCCAACAGGAGATTGAAGTCGGTAAAAAAGTAGCGGCAATCGGTTGCCAGGTACTTATTACCTTGAGCAAGTGGTCTAGCAGCCCTGTGTCCCCGATGTCCTTGCGCGCCTCCTCTCGCAGAATCTGGCGCAGGATGGGCTTCTCGGGACCCGCGCCGCGGCGGTGCATAATGTCCACCAGCTTCAGCTGCGCCGTCTTGTACCTAATCAAGAACCAAGAAAGCAAGTTGATCTGGGCATCCTGTTCTTGAATAGAAGAGACAGAAAGAGGCGGTCCTGGCAAGACATCGGGCGAAAGACGGATGTAGACTGAGAATGCCAGATAAAGCCGCACGAAGGGACCTACTTAAGCGAGACCCTGCTTTTCGTCTTTATCGATAACGGATTCTCAAATCGAGGTAAGGCTTTGCATTGAGATGCATTTATTGCATAAACCCAGAATTGTTGGATCGACCCCATGAGAAGATTATCTATTTTAAGGGCAAGCCTCTCGATCCAAGTTCATCTTTTCAAACCGTGTGGCATCTTATCCTTACCTCTCTGTAGACCAGCGGCCCCTCATCTCTTTGGGCAGCTTCAGAACGACGGGCGACCCTTCCTTCTTCTTGTCCTTCTGGGAGGTCGCCGTCTCGGTCGTGGCCTTCGACTCGCCCTTGGCGGGAGTCTGGGGCGTCAGAGAAGGTGCAGGGGGAGCCCGCAGGCGGCCTCGACTGCAAAATGACGACTTGGCTCTCTTATTTTCCCGTCAAAGAGGAAGGGCGTCGTTACTTTCTTCTAATGGTATGGCCGCCCTCGGGACACACGCAAGCGGTTGTTTAGAAAAGCAGGTTTGGATAAGTGAAATTCAACAGCGAGTACCACTTTTGATTGTAAAACGAATGTGATTGAAAGACACAGTCACAGAGCTGAGAAGCTTTTCACGGCTATCAGAGCTGACAGTCAGAACGCTAAAATCTCGACAGTATGATTGATCAGGCAGGGTTTGCAACCATCAGGGGCCTTACATCGTCGCGACGTCGAGCGCCAGCGGCTTCGCCAACCCATCCCGGGCGGAGTGCTTCTTTCCGGGCAGCTTTCCCCCCTTCTTCGGCCCCTTCGTGGCGGGGGGGGTCTTCTTCTTGTGCGACCGGTTCTTCGCAGGCTCCTTCTTCGGCGGCTCATCCTCCTCCATCTCTGCCTCTTCCTCCTCCTCCTCGGCGTCGAAGTCCTCGTCAACTTCTTCAGCTTGCTCGCTTTCGACGGGCGACTCGGACCTGGCCTGGGACGGTCCGGGGGACAGCGCCTCGTCGCTCGCGGCCGCCGTGCGCGGAGAGTTCACGTCAGCGTCGTCGCTGCTCGTCTTCTGCAAAGAAAGCGGACACGTCAGTTCAATCTTACAAGGGCAATCACAGTGATACATCGTTCGAATTAATCTTTCCAAACTCCGGCGATGATACTCGTGTCTTGGAAACTTGAAAAATAGCTCAACAACCTTAAAGATGGGGGCAGAGACATATATGTCAAACCCGTTTTTAGAACTCTTCCACTCTTCCTACTGTTCGTTGAGACATTATTAGCATCCGCAAAGAGAGTTGGCCTGCAGAAGCTGCATCTTCTCTTTGCAGACACTGACGTCTCAATGATAGAAGCAGATTCCTTCACAAGGCTACCAGCCGATTACCTGCTGCTTTGGACCTTCCGACAGCGATCCGCTGGTGCGCCTCCGCAAGAGGTCCGCTGTGCTCCGCTTCCGCTTCAGGCCTGGACCGACCGGAACGGGCGGCGGCGACTCGTCTGAGCGGTGACCACTGATTGGCCCGGACTCGGGGCTAGCGTCGCCGGAAACAAGCGCGCCGAAGTTTCCGCTCCCGAGCCGCGCCTCCTCAGCGGTGACCGGAATTCCGGCGTACCGCTTCTCAAACTCGTCCTCGTCCTCGGACTCGTCCTCCTCGCTCTTTCCCCCCTTCATTTCCGCGGTTTCGAGTCCCCCTTCCGCGATTTCAAGTTCCCCTTGCCGGGCGCCGGACTTATTCTTCTTGATCGCCGCGAGCAGTCCTACCAGTTCGTCCTCCCCTGTCCTTTTCAACCCCTCTCCCCCTTTCAACCGAGTATCCGATTTCAACCCTTTCCCAACGATCGCGGACGCCTCGAACTCGTCCGAATCTCTACTTAGACGCGCTTTCTTCCCGGCACAAGGAGGAATCTCCAAGGAATCAGTTTCCTTCGTATTCTTTTCCCCCTTCCCTAATCTACCTCTACCCTGACCAGCACCCTCGAACTCCCCATCGAACTGAATCTCATCATCGGAGCTGTCCGAAGGGAGAGATGTTTTCTTTGGCTGTTTGGTATCTTCAGCCGCTTTGGGCACCTCGAGCTTAAGGCGGCGCTTGATAGGCCCACGGGGACTCTCCGGGATGGGGGGAAGGCTGTCAACCGCGTCCTTGAATAGCTTGATCTGCTTGGCCAACTGCAATGGACGAGAAAACTCCTGAGTCACCTCGTGTAGAGAAGGAATTGGCAGAAGGGGAGCTAGAAAGGTAGGTTTAGAGAAAAGTCCAGAACTTTTTAAGTGCATCGCTTTCGCAAACTTGGTTCCAGTTGAAAGCTGTGTACATATGTTACTTGCGGCAAAAGCTACTACGGCATCCCGGAGAAACGATCAGGGGTATTGCGAAGGAAGTTTCTAGAATAAAATCCACAATAAGTGCTTGAGAAATAAGTATTGGGAGCATACTCAGAGACCAATCATTCAAAGATAGCTGCAGTGCACCGTCTTTTAGAAAAAACGTATCAGAAGTGCGATAGCCCCCTCACCCCTTCGTAGGTGTGGAGACCCGCAATCTTTTGCCGCCACACCGCGCGGTCAATCAGAGGAGAGTCCGCCTGATAGTGAGCCCTGAGGCCCTCTTCTAACTCCAGCAAAGAAGTGCCCACTTCTCTGATCGTGCGCGCGCCCTGCGCGCGCTCGCGCCAGGGCTGCAAAGATTCTCCCAGAGAGTCAGATAATCGCAGCAAAGCCGGTCTTCTGCAGACCACAAACGAACTTACAAGGATACATCAAATGCAACAAGCTCCTGAGAGCGTCTTTCGAGCTTTTGTGGAACCTTTTCTGCTTGACTATCAATCAGTTCAATCGCCAATCGGATCCTTTGGATCTGTAACATCGGAAGACGTCCAAACTTTCACCTCACAGACGGACTTTGACCCACCAAGTGCGTGCAGATACAGAACGGAGGCAGCAATGACAAGGCGTGGCGGGAGCACTTTCAAGTAAAACGAAAAGCATCCTGTATTCCATCACAAATCACAAGGAATGAAAGCAAGGCAGCAAAACGAGGCGGCAACTGATTCCTGTCTGATGGAAAATCAACGGAACAAAGCTTCCAACTAGCTAGCAGACCTTTGTGAAGGCCTTTTTCAACATGTAAGGCCAGCTTTCTACCGTTTGCCACTCATCATGGTCTGTTGAAAGCACAACGCGACAAGCTTCCAAGCTTTTCAAGAGAAGCATCTTGTAGTAAGGACAGAGACTCAGGTGTAAGGTCTCCTTGCCTTTCGTTTCTTGGGCCAGGTTGGAGAGATCTGGTCCAAAGGAACCTCTTCCTCGATCTTCAGTAGGGCGTTTATGGACCGTTGTGCCATGATCACGTTTGGATGAGCGTCTATGTCATCTCCCCGAGCAACCTTCTGAGTGGCTGTGGTACGGCCAGGGTTGTACGAGGAAAGCGGGCTTTGGGACACGACGCGACCTGCGGGATGACAAAGGAAAAGTTGTCAGTAGAAGCTCCGACAGTCAGAATGCAATTGATCCCAAAATACGATCAACCGAGCCTGGTGGCGCGGGAAAGCTTGCATAAGGGAGGATCTACAGAAAGGAGGTATAAAGGGGTGACTTATCGATATTTCTTTGTGCAGGTTCATCAAGAACGAATCACGTGCACTTCAATTGGTCGCCCTTTCCCCCCGAGACAGAAGAGATAAAGTACGGAATACATAAGAACACTGTTTCTTCCTGGAGCTGATTGAAAACAACCCCTATTTCCATACAGTTGCCTTCACCTGGATTCTCGCGGATCTTGGGTGCCACCATTCTATCTTGCTGAAGGGTTTCCAGGGGTGCAAAAGGGGCATGCTTCTTTCAGTCAGATGCCAGAGCACAGGCTGCGGGGCATCGGCAGGGGAAGCTTCTTTTGAAAATGATCAGCAAGAACAGAAAGCAGAGGGTTATTCCTGCAGAAACCTCTCAAACTCGAGCGGAAGAAGGAAGGCGAACAGTACAAAAAGAGGAAATCCCAAAAAGAACAACTTTCTAAGTGGCAAAAGCCATGAAGGGTCTCGTGATGACTGAAGCTGCAGTTTCGGCAAAATTGGAAACATATACACCATTGAACAGGCGCTCGAGAAAAACTCATTCAAACTTCGCACAATAAAAGCCAGACGTGTTGCCTTCCAAAATTCTCCCAACTCTGGCAGGCTGGGGTTGATGTCAAGCAACTGCTTTGAGAAAGCATCGAGCAATCCTGGAAAGTGTCATTATGGTGAAAGTCAGCCTTGTGCTTAGTGATGCAACCAGAAGATGTGCAAGGAAAGGTTCATCTTTTGCGAAAGGCAAGGATTTTTGCATGGATCCTCTGACGGTTAACAGCAGCTGAGAAATAGCAAGGAAGACGAACTGTCTCAGCCTTTGCAATACAGGTCTAGTTTCCGGGCTGTAGGGTTGGTCCTTGCAATTGCTTTATCTTGAAAAAAGCTACTACTTTCGTGTGATTTATCCTCAGACTCTAAAGAACAATGTAAAAGACCAGTAAGTCAAGAAAGCTCACCTTGGGCCATCGCAAGAGGTGTCCCTTCTATCTCAAGCACAATCCTTATCAGGCCAGATCATGCAAGGGGACTCCTTTCAGAGCAAGGTCTCTCCCAGGTCAAGAAAGCTTTGCACGTGAAATGCCTGGTGAAATTGTCCTTGAATGCTGAATGCTGAATCGCCGTATGCTTCAAGCTGAGTGCTGAGCAGGGCCTTCTCTTTTCAAAGGACCTTCTTTTCTTGTCCGCTGCAGCTGTAGGAATTGGAAGCCTGGGAGTGACCCTTTCATGAAAATGGTCTTCCAAGGTGTCAAATCTTTGATTGGATTCTGTGGCCTTCTTTAGAAAAAGAAAAAACCATGAGCAAGGAAGATTGTTTGCTCACCATTCCCGGATGATGTGTAGGCTGTGCAGCTTCTTCTTGGATAAAGAGCGCCTCTTTCCTCAGGCGCGAAGACAACCGACCCGCAAGTCCGCAAGAAAACTTCTCAAAGTTATCACCTTTAAACCGAAAGCGACGCCCCTTACTGCTACGGTACCGAACCCAAGTTATCAACCTTGGAAACAGCGCTCATTGCTTTCAAACCGAAGATGGATTTGTTGCTTGTGTGAATCCCAACAGGTCCGAGATCCGGGCCTCCCAACACGTACTAAGCGAGGGTTTAGCAGAAGCAACTCAAGCTTCGACCTCTTCAACGAAGCTGCCGCCCGAGGGAACGAGAGGATGCCAGTTGAAAAAGCATGCTTGAGAAGGACCAACGAGTTCAGCAACCGCTCTCGAGGATACGGTGCGCAGCAAGCCCGTGGTCACGTCTATACTCCTGCGAGGTACGCTGTCGTTTGGTATCTTCGAGGACAGCTGGCTGTGCTCCCGCCATTAATGGCTCGGGGGACGGACCTCTTCTAGTCACGTCAAGGGGCGATGCATGTGCATGGGTCGACATGACAACAGCCGCTTCGACGACAAGTTTCTTACGAGAGCTTGGTCGTCTACGCGGCGGTTGCTCTGACCATCTAACAGCAAAGCAGCGTCGAACGGTACGTACTAAAGGAAGGAGGAGAAAGGTCACATCAAGTTCGTCGGAAAAGGAAGGAGACTTCGAAGCAGCTGTCAAGAAATCGTGCTGCACAGTTATTATCCTCTTTCAACAGGGTTCTCTTTGAAGTCCGAGCCTGATATAAACCCCGAGGGCCGAGAACCGTGCCCGAATGATGCATGCCGATCTGTGACGTAAGTGCGTCCACGGGATTGGCCCATTCAGGATCAATCGATGTGTTCGATCTAGACTTTGTGATCGGTTTTGTCGTATTTGTCGGTCCAGCGCAGCCGCTGTGACACACCCGCCGCGCCGTCGCAACGGCTTGCTGCAGCTGTTCGAATTCGACTACATGAGATCTTACTCTTCGGTATAAGTACCGGTATCTCGGGCGCCAGGCAGGCGCTCAAAACTGGGTTGTCCAAACGATACCGCTTGGTCTGGCTCACGACGACAGTGTTATACTCGGTTCATATTTGCGCGATTGCGCTGAAGACTAGCCTGCAACTTGCATCCGCACATGGCTAAATTTTCTATGAGAGCCGACATTCTAGCATGCATGATCTGGAGCACCGTTTATTACAAGCCTGTCAAGGGGAGGTTCAATATAAGTGCATAAAACAGCGCCCATGCCGCAAATATTTTGGAAAGTCCGTACGCTAGCTTCCGAACATTGTCACATGAGCGGCTGACGCACTCTTGCTATAGCACATGTCCGATCTGCACGAGAAGAGTGCTTACGCAGATCGACGACGATCGCGCATCATAATCAATTGCATGACCTTGCCCATACGTTTACTCCCACGATACACAATTCCGACCTAGTTGCATTCAGATTCCAGACTAGCTCCTTACATGGAACATACTTTTTTGATCCATGTAGCCGAGGCAGGACCGTGCTCCACATAATTGCGGAGTAATTCCTAATCGCAGGCTAGATATGCCAGTGACTCTCTTATATGCAAGTCACGAGAAGACCAAACTTCGCGGTTATACAATCATGCGCGGTCCATGTAGATTGACAACTTGCAGCTGCACAGAATCGCCAGTCTAATTAGCAATCTGAAACTCCAATGACGGCTGTTCAACAGCTTGGGAACCAAAAAAGCGTGCAACCTCATACAAGGCCCTCAGGATCGAATGTCGATTGGGAGGCGCTTCACCTTTTCTAACCTTCGACTTAACGCTTCAATCTTTGCTGTCCAGTCAGGGTCTATCCTCAAAGGTTTTAGAGGGAGTTCATTCGACTCATCGTCTGACGAAACATGCCCACCTCTTAAAACTGCTACGCCCTTCGTCGAAGCAACTGCAGCCGAACTTTTCTCGATGCCCTTCTGCTCTCGTGCTCTTTCCATGGCTGCCATAACGAGTTGACCCATACTAGGCTGGTTAGGGTCTGTCGTTCTAGGACTATCATCACTGATGGTGATCACACGTGGCTCTCCCGACCCGTTCTCATCATCCTCAGAGATGTCAGCCTCGTCCCCCATCGCAGAAGACGCCAGCTCTTCGTTATCGTCACTGTCTTCGTCCTCTCCCGTCCGAATCCGACCGCCGCCCCGCCCACCCCGTTTTCGAGCCCGGGCGGGTTTCGCCGCTCGTTTCTCCTGCATTCCCCGGAAAGCTTCTAGGAGTAGCCTCGCCCCATCCTTGGACGGCTGGCCGTTCGCTGGCCGCTTCAGTTGAGGCCCCTCTTTCTCTTTCGCTGCTCGACTGCCGTCGACGTCAGCCACCGTCTCGGCAGGAGGCACTCCGCTCGCCTTCTGCTTCTTCTCTATGGAGACCGCTGCAATCAGCTTTTGTCCCCGAACCTCCACCTCGTTCATGATTGCGAGCCCCTGTTCGACGTCTCCCTCCAGTTGCACAAAACCGTACCCCTGGCACTGCTTCTGCTTGTTTAGGACCACAAACGCGTTTCGCACTCCGTCGACCCCCCGCAACGCTTCTTGTAGGTCCTCATTTGTCGCCTCCCTTGACAGGCCCGTTAGGAATATCTTGGTGTCCCGCACACTACTTGCCCCTTGCTTTCTGTCCCCTTTTGAATCCACTGCTGTCCTTCCACTCGAACTCTCCTTATCATCGTCGTTGCCGTCCTCTGCAACGGGCTCCGGTGAACCGCCCCGGAGGTTCTCCTCATCCTGCCAGGACGTGGAACTAGAAGGAGGGGAAATGATCTCGTGAATCCGTCCGACCTCCCCGCCCTTCAACCTTACCTGCATATCCATCAAGGAGCAAGGTAGCCTGTCAGATGTGCTCACAGGCATGTTCTGGAGACATCAGGTTTGGACGGCAGAAAAAGAGAGTCTGTGTACAGATGCCAGCGCTTGCAGACCAGGTTGACTTGACCATGGCTGCTAAGATCTCGAAAGACATTCGGGCAACTAACCATGGGTGCTGCTGAAGAGGAGCAATTTTGCCTCTGGACTGTTGGGCGAGAACAGGAAAGCTGTTGTACCGCAAGAAATGCAATAAGTCACCGGCTTTGTCACGAGTTTTCAAGCCCACTTGTAAGTCTGTTCACAGTGCCAGAAGAAGTGTGAAGGACAAACCTTGATTCCCCAAGGGTGGTCAGCACTGTTGGTGAGGATCTTTGCCACCAACCCCCTCGTCAGACGGCCATTCACCTGGTCCTTCTTGACGACCACGTCTACCAGACTACCCACCTCAACCATCGCCCGTGATTTAGACTGCCTGCTAGGCCCCACGGAACTTGGAAAAGGAGGCTGTGGGCCTTGACTGGAAGGGGCAAAGGGAGACTTTAAGCCTACACCAGCATCATTGCTGCCTTTCGGTAGCCGCTTGTGCTCCAGAGCACGCAGAGCTTCCAGAAGACCACCTGTCCTAGCATTCGTCTCTTCCTGATCGTTTGAGTAAGTGTCATCCGAACGTGGTGGCGACCTTCGCCCCCGCTCTGCGAAAGTCGTCTCAGCACCTCTGAGAGCATCCAAGAGCGAGTCTGTTCCTGAAGCTCTCCTTTCATACTCGTCCCCTTCATTCATCGCCGCCACCCTGAGGTTCTTCCCGAGCCTAAAGGGCACCTTCCTCCTCTTGGTTGGACCTTCTCGCAGCCGACACGGCGCTCTCACCGACAGTGCGGCACACTCTGGTCGTAGGCCAAAACTTTGCAAATGCTTTGCTGTTTGCGGAACGGAAGCTGTCCGCAAGCTGCGGACAGTCATTGAAACGATCGTTTGAATGCGCTGCTCTGTCATGATGACTGGACTGCCGGCACCAGCGCCCGCCATATCGCTCCAACATCTTGGCGCCCAGCGGGACGAGACGCTGTGCTCTGTATGAAGAACGCTTCCGCTTACTGTAGCGCACCTCATCTCTGAACTCAACTCACGAAAGGACCTCGACCTCTTGAGCTTCAAAGGTCCTCAGAAAAATGATGAAGCCGCCATTGCACACTCTGATCGTCTGCATGGACAGTCTTCCAGCAGAAAGGCAAAACGTCCCTGGCAATTTGAGTTAAACCACGAGAGCAATCCTGCATGATGCACAGGAAATGCTAACCGGAACCTTCGGAGCTAGGGAATGTGGTCGGTTCAAGCTATACCGGCTGGTCTAGGAACAGGCACGCTGCACTTGCGGGGGGGCCGGTTGCTTGGCATCCGACACTAGATCTGTATACGACGAAAGTCTCATACATATCCTTTGCAACTCTGATCAGATGTTGCATATCAGTCTTCACTTCAAGTCTATGGACAGAACACTTTGCCCTCTGCAATGAAGACTCAGGGCGATTGCAGGCGCATTGGTTTGCAGTACAAGCGTTGTTGGCTGCCTCAGGGGTGGAGGATATAAAGTCCTGTTGACGAGAATTATAGCGGCTGCGCTTGTTGGCAGCTAGACGCGTGATCAACCAAGAGCCGAGGCCAATTGTGAGCTTGGACTCCTCTTCTGAGGGACTTAACATGCTGATGGAGAAACAAAGTCGGAATCCATCTGCTGAAAGTCCAGGCGAAGCCAGTGATCGAGTACCTCTTCCGAAGCGATAGTTTCCATATGAGGCCTCCTTAGCAGCGTATCATCCTGCGGGCGCATCGCATCTCGGCACTCCTGAAATTGATTCCCCAAGCTTTCTGACGCTTTCTGACGGTGGGACAGATGTAGTGCAAGTGGTCAAAGCAGATTCGGCAGCCTTGCCGCAATGGATATCTGGACCCAGGCGTTCGAGTTCCTGGTCATCTCTGGGTCACTCGGGATTCTCTTCTCCATTGGGTGGTGGTTCCTTAATAGCAAGCTGTACATGGACTATGAAGAGAAACACATCTGGGTCCAGATCCTGTTTGCGAGCACCTTTGCATTCTCCACCAACCTGCTGCAGCTGGTGCTCTTTGAGATACTCCCTGTGCTTGGAAAGGGGTGAGTGGAGTGCCAGAACCTGTGATGCTCCCGCGGCATGTGTCCTTTGGAAACGTACCCAGTGCATTGTTTTTGAGAGTCCATTCACTAGCTCTTGATCAACCTAGCTCATTCAATCAGGAGTGTGCATGCCTCTCATCCTGTTTCACCAATGTGCGGTGTCAAGTCTTTGCATCTTAGCCCCCGCTTTTAGGCTACTGATTCTCATCTGACGCGTTGATGTGCAGGGCCCGTTGGTTGAATTGGAAGATCGACCTGGTCTGCTTGATTGCTACCCTGGTTGTGGTGCTCCCATATTACATCTTCCTGCGTGTACTCTGTACTCAAGGTACCTGCTTTCTCGTTTCAATCTCGTCATCTCTTCATTGCCCTAAGCACCATCAGATTTGCCCCACTCACCAATCTGAACGAAGCCATGTCCTGACGTTCTGATGCCTCATGTTCTTGTAGGTCATGTAAGGAAATCAGAGCAGCCAATGTCCTAACAATGCGTTTCGTGCAGGCATGAAATCGGAAAGGGCGGCGTTTGCTGCCCTGCTGTTCCTCTCTACCTTTCTCTATGCTTTTTGGAGAATGGGTGTCCACTTTCCCTTCTCAGACGAGAAGGGACAACGAGGTACGCCCTGTCACATCATCGACCTCTCAAATCTCTCTCCGTTCTTTCGCTGTCTGATTGACTGGCATCTGCCTTTCGTGCTCGGCAGGATACAGTTCTCTATGATGAAGCCACAACACAAGTTTGAGTACAATCAAAGAATGTTTCTTTCTCCTGCACACTTTGTTGAAGTTGCACCTCATGCAAGCCGCTCTTCCTCTGCGCTTCCTAAGTGTTGTAAATGGAAAAGGGCAGAGATGTACCTCAGGACATGCCAATTATGCAGGTTTCTTCACGATGGCGCAACTTGTGAGTCGAGTTGGAGTTATTGGCGTGTCGCTGGTTGCCGTTCTGGCAGGCTACGGAGCTGTCAGCCTGCCATATAGCTACATCTCAGTGTTTCTTAGGTGAGTTGGAGCGGCCTCACTGTACTTGTTTCGAGCGTCACCTTTGGATGTGCTTCACTGACAAAACAGGTTGTTTGTCCGTTTTTTCTCCTGTTCCAACGCGTCATCAGGAAACTTTTTGCTTGTTCTGAAGCGACAATGAAGTGGTGTCACGATGCAGACGACCATATTTCTGGAAAAGCTAGCCTGCAACCGGTCTCTCAAGAGTCATCTGCTTTCGCGACCAGCTCTCCTGCTTCTGATTCGAACCTCCTCCGCTCGCTTGGTTTTGGTTTCCCTTTTCTGAAAGGACAGGAGGCCATCGCATTGGTCGGCTGTGTGCGATGAGATAACAAGGTCCTCTATGGAGTCCTGCAGGCAAATTGAACCAGAGGAGATCGATGCGTTGAAGCAGCGCCTGGCGCAGACGTTGGAGCTCACGGTGGCTAAGAAGAAGAAGATTGTGCTGGCCAGGATGGAGATGCAGAAGATGCAGGGATCGAGAGAAGTGAGCTTTCTTCCTCTATGTCTGACCCAAGTCAGTCGAACACTGCGAACCAGTTCTGAGCAAGGTTCTGGCCGTTAGCAGCCGCTCGGGAACAGGTCGATTGTTTAGGATTGCTGTGGCTGGTCGCTCTTCACGAGCCGCTTTACAGCGTCTCTTTCAGCTCTGCAAATGTTCAAAAGCTTGGGACATCGTGTGGTACAAGAATTTTGCGGCTCTGCGCTCGCCAATGACCTGAGTTTTCGGCTCTCCAGGACGCTCAAGGCCGGTCTTTTCTGACCCGGTTCGTGAGCACGGTGGTCCGGACGGGCCAGGAAGACGAGAAGGAGGAGAAGATCCGGGGGATGGAGGCGGAGGTGCGCACGCTGGAGGAGCTGTCGTCGCAGCTGTTCGTCGACCTCCACGAACTGCAACAAGCCAAGGTAACCGCGCGTCACCAAACGCTTGGCTTTTCACAAGGAGTGTTAATAGCTGTTAACAGACGTCGATGACGCATTGAGGATGTCGGACCGGGGGTGTCGAAGAGGGGTGATAGCCCTTGTAAGAGGGCGGCTACCCACGTGGTACTGCGGCGGCCACTTCGCTTGAAATTCTGCTCTCGTGTCGCCAAGAACTTTATCAAGTGGTACCAAATCTAGCGACCAATCTGCGGGCAGACGAGCTCTCTGCTCGCCGAGGCGTTATGTGTCACACGACGCCCCCTTCAACATACGACGAGTCACAACCGACCAATGCCTTCCAATAAGCCCCTCGGACGACCGCAACTAAATTCTAAGAAGTTTTTGAAGGGAGTCTCTGCATGTGAAGCCCACGCTTCCGGCAGAGGCACTACCACCACTGCTTGGAGAAAGCCGCTGCTCTATCTCTCCGTCTTGTCAGCTCGATCACCGATAGCCGTGTTTGTCTTTCTCAACAGGAGAAAGTTTCGCTGTTGCATAGCGGTCAAAAATCTCACATATCATCCTGCGTTTCGTCGCGTCTTCACCGTATCTTACTTCATTTCCGTCTTGTCCAAAGCACTCTGGTTTGGGCCCTTGAACAATAGTCCTCACGCTGAGTCGCTACAATCAAAGCGAGGAGGCTCAAGCCCCTCGCAATACCCGCAGCTCCCTCGTGCGCTTGCTCAGCTCGACAATATTCTTTCGTTGCTAATTCCCTTCACCTTTCTGCAGGACGCGATGGCCTACTCACGGACGTTCCGAGGCCACCTCCGGAACCTACTCGGTTACGGCGCGTCCGTGTACTGCGTCTACAAGATGTTCAAGTCGGGCCAGAGCATGTTCGTGGAGGACGTGAGTCTCCTCTCGCCTCATCTTTCGCCTCGCCGCATCATCTCGCAACAAGCGAGTTTGCGTACGCAGTCTGTGCTTCTGCGGAGTAGATGCAAGCGGACACGGCTCCTTGGTCTTGATGAGGAACAATGACGACTCTCAGGGGTTTGTTACCTTAACAGCACATGAAAGGGTCTCTTTCTCAACACCTACTGTTGTTCTCAACGAGTGGGGTGCCTGGTGGGTGCAGCGCATAGCCTGTTCCCCAACTCTACTATTCTACTATTCAGCGATTGGCTGAGGGTCATTTCTCGTCTTGAAATGTTTGCGCTTTGCTCTTAACTGCTTCAGCACTCGTTTGTAGGTACACACGACGGACCCCGTGACCAACATGATGCAGATCATCTTCCAGTTCCTTCACATCAAAATAAACGCGGCTGTGTGGGGACAGGTAAGGATAGATTATACGGCCACGAAACCGTCGCTTCCGCGCTGGATTGTCCTTTTATGATGTCGACCTCGTAGCAAAGCTCTGCGTGCCCAACCGGACATTCTTCTGTATTCGCAAACTGTAACGATCGAGGAAGATTTGAAAGGAGCCACATAGAGCGCGTGACACACGTTTGAGTCAGATACCTGAGCGTTAACTGATTCGCTGTGGCCTGGAGTTGTCTTTCCAGCAGATAGCTGCTTTCCTTCGATCACCTACTTTTAAGTCCCGTTCACACAGTCTGCTGTCGTTCCTGTTGTTGACGTTCAGATGTCCGCTCCAAAGAAAAAGTACGCCCTACTCGAGCGTACCCTTCGCACTGGGCCCCCCGTTGACAACACATCTGACCCACTCGTTTCTTGGTGCAGCACATATCCCTCCTATTCATCGGCCTTCTCATCGGCATCTCCATGCGGAGCTTCCTGGCCAACGTGTTGAAAGTGAGCGCTGCCGCTCTGGTCTTCGAAGTTGCTCGTTTCGTACGGCTGCCTCCCATGGCCTGGCATTCGTCTACGATTTGCCACTTTGTCATACAGACAAAGACGCGATCGTAGTCAAAGACCTGATCGATCCAGTATTTGAATTGGAAAGTAGTGAAAAGAACCACGGCAGAGTCTGCCTTCCGTTTCTGTCTATATTGTGAATATGAGGTGGCTCTCTCTTCCTGCTCCACTCTAAGGCTCCCCTTCAAGCACACCTTACATCGCGGTTCGAATCGCGCATTCCAGGCTGCTAATAGCGAACTGCCGAGTTGTCCTGCGTGCAGATCTTTACGAAAATAGCGGGGGGCGGCCCGAGTGGGTCGACGAGCATCTTGGTACTTCTACTGACCGAGATCATGGGCATGTACTTCGTGTCGTCCATCCTCCTAATTCGGCGGAGCTTGTCGGAGAAGTACAGGTGAGAGCGGTCGTAAAGAAGCTGTGGAGCGAAGAGTCTGGCTCCGTTTTCATGATATGCACTGGGTACAAGCTGGGACATTGACGGCCGGTTTGACGGCTTCTGGGTTTCGTCGTGCTGGGTTGTAGCAGGTGCATACAGGCCACTCGAACAATCTGCTTCCGACTCCTTGCGGTAAGAAGAGCGCAGACTGAGGAGCCCTCAATAAAATATTAGTTTAGCAATGTTGCGAGCATGTTTGAGTCAGCCCTCCTGAACTCAGCTGTTGCTTCTCTACTTGAAACGCGGCCCTCTTCTTCATGGCAGATCGATCATCACCGAGGTACTGGAGATTGGGGGCGACATCCAATACAATTTCTATCACCGGTGGTTCGACGCTATTTTCATTGTCAGTGCCCTCCTTTCCATACTTTTGGTTACTGCCCAACACACGGCCCAACAAGCGAGCAAACACCCAATTGATTAACCCTCTTCCATTAGCTTGGGGGAGGTACAATTTGAAACCCTTGTATTATAGAGCATATGTAATCGTGCTTTTGTGGTCATCTGTTTAGGCTAGGTTTATTGAGGTGAAAAACGACGTCAAAATGCCATGCTTCTCATAGAGTTGGGATTTGGATCCAGAAGGAGTATGTGCATATGCACACACACAGAATGATCTGCGGGATGTACAGTCGTCCATGCAAGTGGTGCGAGCACATATGCAATGATGTCTCAGTACCGCGTGCCATATTTGCTCAAAGCCAAAGGTGCATGCATGATAAAGGCCGAGCCTCAACAGCTCGATGCGATTTCGGGAAACGTTATTGTATGTTGAATGGTCTCTGCACAGACGGTCTGATCGCCGTGCATGTGATAGCACCCATACATGGGACCCACATGCAGAGTATTGCAAGCTTTGCCGCAGCTAGATTGTGGTGCTAGCAACTATATAGCTTTCAAAAATGCCTGGCCGTCGGATTCTGCCATGACAGATCATTTGAAATTGTCGATCTTGCCCCCTGAACTTAAAGAATCCGGCTGGCCGGGCGGCCTAGCTGCGAGCTCGAACCTACCATGTCACTGATCAAAGAAGCGAGTCAGGTCGCTTCAAGGTGCTGGGCGCGCGCACCGCTAGCCTAAAAGATCGCACATCAAATTTTGCGACGTACCATGTGGGACCGACGCTTAGAAGGGGGACCGCGGTTGATTTCGTTCTAGCTTGATTATATTTTGTGCTATACACATGCATATATGCGCATCGAGCTATGAAGCCTGCAAGCGATAATAACATGCAGTACGTGTAGCTGAATATGTGCATCATACACACAACATGCTTTTGATGATATGTACATGTGGCAAACTAGCTGGCACAGGCCTGGTAGATACTTGAGACCTTCTAGATATATTGTGTAAGATCACACCACGTCCGTTACATATGGAGTGCATTTGAAATACGCTCTAACACTGAACAAGCAGAGAGATTATGCACATGTATGACTCGAGGCCACTGTGCTTGATGGTCTCAAGTCTTTAATCAACATGGAATTAAAGACCTCTGCTTCGTCCTACTGTTCACGGTCTAAATTACATCTAAAGCGTCCAGATTGTCCACATATTGTACTGTATATGGAAGGTCAAAAAGCTCAATGTGCGTGCAAGCGAGCTGCGTGCCACCAATATTATACAACCCAGTCCCGTCTTCCTAACTCTGTCTAACCCATGACCAACATATCTAAGCGTGCAAGGGAACTGCCACCGCACATGCTTGTATCTACCCGAAGACCTCTGTGATGACAATGGCGGTGTTCAAGAGCATCGTAGGGACCAGGAACAACCAGGTCACAAAACCAAAAGCTGTTGCCGCCCGCACCCTAGAACTGAATTTGCCAGACCCGCCGCCAACCACGTCGGTGTCAAGGGTGGCGGCTGAGCAGGCCGCTCCAAAAACGAGGAATGCCAGGAACTGCGAAGCAGAAAGTTCTGTGTGAATACATTCGCAAACCTTAAATGGAGGTACTCGAGATACAAACTAAATCATATCTAGAATAAGGCACTCAGCTTTGTATAGAAAGGGTATTCAAATGACATCAATATGACAAAGAAGAAAAGGTATAGGAGGTGACATTCATATGACAGACTTTGGATGGTAGCATTGCACTGATAAATCTTTGGCTGGAAGCGGTCACAGATGTTGTCAAACACAGATGTTGTCAAAAAACAGGAGATGCGTCCCTAAAGCTGAGACTACTAGGAATGATTTGTTGACACAGCCAACCAACACAGACCACAACAGCAGGAAACAAGTGAACTATCATATGAGAACTCAAGAAGATGGAGTGCGAATACTTACCAGATCCACAACAGCGATAATCAGAGCAACAATCCCTCCCATTGAGAAGCTGGTGCACGCCTCCAAGGCGTCCAAGATGAGGGTAATAAGCGACCAGACAAAGACGAAGATCAGCATGACCATCAGCCACGTGTAGCCCTTGTAGTCAGTGTAGTCCAGGGAGTGGCCCGTGAAATCATTCCTCTTGTCATGGGCGCTGGCCATGATCTGCAAAACAGAGATGCAACAGCGGTCAGAATCTGTACGTATTTGTTGCAAAATCTGTAGGCTCGAAAAGGTAAACGACCTATCCGGGCAAGCTGTGGAAAAAGTGACTGCCCCAAGTTCAGTGATCACATTTGCCCATCCAGGGGGAAGTAGGTGGGCGCCTCTGCGCACAGGACAGAAAATGAGAAGCTGGCAGACTGATAGGAGTTTCAACAAAAAAAAAAAATTGGTCAGTTAACCAGAGTTCGCGAGTGTCGCTAGCACTTCACACAGGAGTGCTTACACAGGCTCTGTGAATGAAGCAAGTGCTGCATGTTTACTCCAAAATGGTTGAGTCAAGAGCTTATGAAAAAGCATTGATTGAGAAAAATCGTATTCAGCTCAGGGCGTACAAGCAAACAGCTCAGAAGATTCTGCACGACATAGGACTTGGGAAATCAAGTGTTCAACTTGTTTGCTGGTAAACAATAGCCCTGTATCTCAGTGAAAAGACAGCTGTCCAATGCCGCACAATTAGAGTGGCTTTGAGGAAGGGCAGACAAGCTTGGAATCAGAGTATTTAGTTCAGTAAAGCTGGGTAAAAGCTGCGTGCATGCAATGCCCACTTCATGAATAGCAAGGTAGCGGATTGCATGCAAACCGAGTGGCCAAATCAAGTCAGCAAGGCTCAAAATATACATCGCAGAGAACAACAGAAAACCTCATAGAAGAAAGAAGACCCAAGTAACAGCTGTTTCTCAGTAAGCTCCACACAAATGGGCATCAAGTTATCGAGATGACAACTTACCGACAGGCCAATCACAGAGAAGATGAGCTGCATCAGCCTGAATATTAACGATGCAACCGACCGCTTTGTGAACTTCCGGTCGCTCCCCAAGCTGGACCCAGCAATGTAGACCCCTCCAGCTGGAGCTGCTGTCGTCTGCTTTGGCGGGGGGTTGCCATAGGGGGTCGCTGTGGGGTAAGACCCCGGCGTCTGCGGCATTGTAACAGTGTGCGAAGCCATGACTGGGGGGTGGGGAAGGCAACTTTGGCTGGCGAAGTCGTGAAAACCTAGAAAGACAATGAAAGTCTTGCATGAGTGAATGGCTGAGGGCATAACAGCTGCGGCAAAATTTGCGGGTCTCCACTAATTGCTCTCCACGAGAAGCTTCCACATGCACGTCTCTGATTGCATCCACCTGCATGCTCTCCTGCAAAACCCTCAACACAGCTCCCCACAAACCGCGGGCTGCCAGCTGGTCACTTCTTCGCCTCTAGAATTTCAAAGGTTTGGGGTTTTTTCCTTGGACCCTGTGAAAAGTTTGACCTTCAAATTCAGGAAAGTGAACAGCCTGAGGTCGACGAAGGAGGCGAAGCGGATGGTGGTGGTGCTGCTGTCTCTTGTATGCCTGCCTGGAAGAAAGCACAGCAGGCAGTTGGTTCTTCCTACACCAGAGCATTGCTGACACCACGGCTGCACCTTCCTTCTCGCTCAGAGTGCTACTCAGCAGAACATGGCACACGCTCTAGCGAGAGCCCGGGGCGCGGCGGCCTTCTTCCAGGGCTCGCTGACCATACGAGCATCTTTCCAGGAGGGCACAACTGCAGCCATCAGTGTGCAAACCCCTTTCTGCGGGCACTCCGGCACTTTTCCAAGGTTCTCCGAGCTCCCCGTCAGCTTTCAGCGGTGGCAGTCACAGAGCTCCTCAGGCAGTCATTCTCAAAAGGTGTCGGTGGTGGCGAATGGAGCGCAGGCGCCAGTGTCGGGGTTCGGCCATGGATGCGCTTCGGAAGGGCCGGTTTCCTCTGGAGCCTCAGTCTCCCGCGAAACAGTGCGGTCTACTTTCGATGGGGCCACCTTAGCCGCAACCGAAAGTGGCGCAGCGCAAAATGGAGTTCACAACGCTCACTCTCATTGTTCTCCAGATGATCCCCATCCTGGCAGCTCTTTAGGTGATAAAAGCGGGGGCGCAAGTGACGCGCTAACTTTAGTGGTTGTTGGGGGGGGCGCCGCGGGCATTTTTGGTGCCATTCGGGCCAAGGAAGCGTGTCCTGATCTGGAGGTGGTTGTGCTTGAAAAGAGTGCCCCGCTCTCAAAGGTGCGCATCTCGGGGGGCGGGCGGTGCAATGTGACCACAGGGCTTCATATTGAACCGGGGGTAAGGCGGCTTTCCTGATGTTAATTGGTCTGGCTCTCCTTCGGCCATTTGGCAAGCAACGGAACTCTGTGCTTGAGTTGTTTCCATTCAACAAGGTTCTAGAGTGACAGGGGGCAGATAGTGCCTATCAGGCTGCAGGTCTCCTTCTATATGTCTTCGGTGGCATTCAGTGGTGGCATTGAGAAGTTCAAAGAGATACTTTGGCAGAACGATTTTCTTTTTTGAAAGCGCTGTTCATGCATAAAACCGGCACTCATCTGGACCTCACTTTCTGCACGAGTTATGGGTCAAATCTCCATCATTGACAAAATAACGGATTAAACGACGGATACTATCGCTTCTATTGCAACTGTCCTGCTTCGAAGCAACTGGTGTGAATGCCCTCTCCTCCCCAACCGTGCAGCCACTATCGGGCCAGTACCCTCGGGGCCATCGGGAGCTGCGCGGGGCCTTCTTTCGGACGCACGGACCAAAGGAGACAGTAGAGTGGTTCGAGGCGCGAGGGGTGGCTCTGAAGGTGCGTTTCACCCTTGCGACCTCTTATTTGGGCCTGACAGGAACATTCTGAAGTGTTTTAGAGCGAGCGAAATTTCTGGCCATAAACAGGTACCGGCTTGCATTGAACAAGGATTGGCATCAACAAATGGAAGAATGCTGTACAGTCCGAGTCCTTTCGACGTGGTATTGATGAAGGTATGCTATGTGCGTCAAGTGGAGCAGAGCCTCTTGGTGGATTGTGCATCCACCACAATAGCAGCGTTTCAGAAAATGACGACTGGCTGCAAGGCACTGACTCGTGCGCTGAGCGTAGGATGGGTTCCGCACCCTCCATTGCCTCTGACAGGCAGCCAACTTCTTCCTTTAGAAGAAGTGCGCACTCCCACAGGATTGGCTGACGTGACGCACTTTGAGAATGCTGCGTACTTTCGAACTGTTCAAAGCTGACCCGTTTGTGAATGGCTGAGGAAATTCTGACAAACGACGTTCTACGTAGACGAATACCTGCTCTTTCTTGCAGAAAGAAGACGACGGGCGCATGTTCCCCGTCACCAACACTTCAGCGACCGTCATAGACTGCCTGCTGAGTGAGGTGCAGCGCCTCGGCGTCAAGCTGAGAAACGGCACCAACGTGCTGTCAGTCCGGAGGCTGCCTGGGGGGCACTTCGAATTGACGTTGGGGCCCGTTACACGGCCCAGCGTGATGACGTCAGACTTCCTGATGCTGGCAACGGGGAGTGCCCAGAGGGTGAGGATTGGCAGCAGGTTTCGTAGCTTTCCGGATTTGACAAATCAGGGAGCGCGTATGAATGTGGGGCGCAAGGAGTTGTTGTGAGGACTGTTGTCCGCAAGTGCCTCAGCAAGTCAGTGCGGTTGACAGACAGGATAGGGACTCTGCCAGGTCCGTAAATTGTCTGCACGACGCTGCTTCGGTTGGACCAGAATGATCCGGCCCCGCTGTCATCCCTGCTGTCTGCTTTCCTCTCAATGCGGTGGGCGGATTGACCGTGTTGCATCTGGGCTGGCTCATGCAAGCGGCTCCTTGTGCAAAATCATTTTGGGATTCACATGCGCTGCATCAATCTGATCTGAGACAATCTGAATCATCCCGCCAAACCTTACCTAACAATTTCGCTGCGATCTGAGTCCTTGCGGAATGCATTCCCGTCACGCTGTTAAAAAGTAGGGTTTGTCGAAGCTTCGTAATTGAAGCTTGACTTCATTGCGGCGCAGGGGTATGAGCTGGCGGGAGCCTTGGGCCACACCGTCATCGACCCCCGGCCGAGCCTGTTCACATTCTGCACGCCTGATACGGACCTTACAGCACTTGCGGGAGTAAGCGCCGAAAGTTACTTGTCGGATTTAGGATACTTGGAGTTGTGAGCCTTACCTCTTTTCGTTCGAACTTCAAAGTGGAAGCATTTATGCTGGAAGGCGTCAAGCCCAACGTAAGTTTCGTTTTCGACAAAGAAAGTATGCGGAAATGCTGGCCATACTGACGAGCGATGCGATCGAGCTAGCCATAGAACTGTTGAGATCGTAAGGGCCTTGTTTCATTATCCTTCTCGCGACTCTTCCAACGCCCTCCCACTACATCATCAATTGAAGACCAGTAATCTGTCGATTCAATTTATCAACGACCTGCTTTAGTTACCGTCCTGCTTACAGGAACCAGCTTGTCCCTGACAAATTGCTGTTTCCTCCCTCAGGTAAGCTTTCCGCAAGTTGGGGGGGAGCTCCACTTGGAGGGACAGAGGAAGCCACCCCCCGGTTTGCAACAGGAAGGTCCGCTGCTGATCACGCACTGGGGCCTGAGTGGACCGCTGGTGTTAAAACTCTCGGCTTGGGGGGCCCGGGGCCTCTTTGACACTGCGTACAAAGGTGGGTCGGTGCAGCAGAAAAGGTTGGAATTTTGCATGCCGTGTCGCGTGCCGTGCTGGACTGGACTTTGTGAGTTCAACTGTGGACTTGGGGCGCTCCTTTGAGTCATCCTTACATTGTGAGTTGTTGCCTTCGACGATATGAAAAACAGCGTCTTTTTACCACTCGGTGCTCGTCAGACTTCGGTTTTTATGAACAGGAGCGGATCTGCCGAAACTCCCTTCCATGTGGCCTCACGATTCCCGATCCGGAATGGAATGGGGAAGGACGACATTAACCGCTCTCTCAGATACTCCGCAGCACGACCGTGGTTTTGTCAATGGCACAGGTCCACCAGTCCATCCTGTTCTTCTTTCTGAACCCGCGTCCCGTCATTCACTTCGGCAGAAAAGCAGATTGCCCAGGTACTTTGTCCTTCATCTTTGTCGAATTGTCCGACTAAATTGGCCCGTTGACTTTCTCTTGCAGGCTCGGACTCCTCTTGGGCAAGCTAACCTCCCCGAGCACTTCGTCTTTTATTGCTCTCTAAGAATGATAGACGGATCCTCTAAGTTCTTTCTCGCAGGTTCGTTGGTCGTGGACTCCTCCCGGGCAAGCTTCGAACTCCCCGGGCACTTCGTGTTTTATTGCTCTTTAAGATTAATAGAATGATCCATCGACTTTCTCTTACAGGCTCGCTGTTCGTGGACTCCTCCCGTGTCAAGAAGTCGAATTCTCCGGGCACTCTGCACCTCATTGCTCTCTGAGAATGATAACACGGATCCATAGATTCCCTCTCGCAGGCTAGCTGATCGTGGCCTTCTCTTGGGGAGGATATCAAGTTCCTCGGACATCCTGTCTTTATTGCCTCTAAGAACGATAGAATGGTTTGGTCACTATCTCTTGCAGGCTCACTGGTCGTGTACTCCTCCTGGGCGAGAAGTCAGATTCCCGAGCACTTCCTTTTGATTGCTCTCTAAGAATGATAGAATGATCCATTGACTTTCTCTCGCAGGCTCGCTGGTCCTGAACTCCTCTCGGGCAAGAATCGAATTGTCGGGGCAACTTTGATTCTTGTTGCCTTCCAAGAAGGATAGAACGATCCGTTGACTATCTCTCGCAGGCTCGCTGGACGTGGACGTCCGGGCCAGAGTCAAACGCCCCGGGACTTCATTCGATTGCTCTCTATGAATGATAAATTGATCCGTTGATTATCTCCTGCGGCCCACTGGCCGACTCCTTCCGGGCTAGAATCGAACGCCCCGGAAAGTTCGTCTAAGTGCTCTCCAAGAATGATACCATTACGGAAGAATGATCATTGACATTCTCTCGCAGGCTCGCTGGTCGTCGACTTCCTCCCGGGCATGCAAGCCGCGGCGGTCGCTCAGGAGATGCTCGCGTACAGAACGCGCGCAGGGAAGAAGAAGCTCGCGAGCGGAGGCCCGCCCGCGCTCGACCTGCCGCGGCGCTTCTGGCTGTACCTGCTGCAAAAGGAGGTGCGGCGCTGCATGCCTTTACCAGCCAGAAGTCTCCGCTTTTTATGAGCCAATCACGGCCTTGGCTTTCGGTCTTTGTCTGCTTCCTGTCCCTCCTCTGTGTCCTCTTGTGGCAGGTTTCAACGGTTCGTTTCGGATTCGGCCTCGATCTACGGATGGGGAATCCGAGAACGGCAGTGGTGCGCTGACTCAAACGCCCCCGTCCTTTATAACTCGGCGCGCAAAATCACCTGGGTTCCTTGTCGCCATTCAGTAAGACTTCTCCGCTGAGACTTCGTCTTCATATCGAGGGTAATTTCTGGGCATTTGAGCTGGTTTCTATGTAGGCCACTACCAACAAACCTTGGCAATTCCGAACGAGGGCCGTTGTTCTTTTGCACTGCGTCTGGTCTTTAGGAGCGTGCTAAGATACTGGGAGATGACCGATTGCTTCTTTTGTCACAGGGGTTGGACCCTGAGTTGACGTGGGCTCAAGCTCCGGGCAAGCCCCTCCAAAAACTGACGGACTCGCTCAAGCGACGACCGTTTATCATCGCCGGAAAGGTAACGTTCCTTGATCGTCCGCTATCTGAGGATGTGACGCGCGTGCTCCTTCCCCGTGCCTGCTACGGGAGAATCTCCCGTCGGACTTTCCTGTTTCCAGGCGTCAAATCTGAGAGCTTCTACGAAGGTCACTGTAGGTCTTTTCAGGTTTCTCTTTAGGTCTGCAGGCCGACTGTGGCATCATCCGGAAGTTCTGTCTTTTGGACACTTGGTGTGTCACTCTGTCACGTCCTTGCTCGAATGCAAATGCCCAGCCTAGCGGGTATCTTGCTTTCGTCGGCACTTGCGCTCAGATTGCTTCCGTGACATTTGAGAACTGCATAATTTCTCTGGGTTAAAGTAACAGTGGGTGTAAACAACACGTGGGCACCCAGGTTTAGAGCATGTTAGATCCCAAAGTTGCATGTACGTCTACCGACCGCCTGGCCGCCTAAACGAAGTTCTCGCCAACTGCAGGGTCAATTTAAAGATGAGGTCGTTAAGGCCGGAGGGGTGCCGCTGAAGGAGGTGACGCTCGCCACGATGGAGAGCCGCGTGTGCCGGGGGCTCTTTTTGGCAGGCGAGGTGGGGACGGGCCCCGAGACTCGACGCGCTTGATCGATACCTGCTGCGATATGACCCGGTGTCAATTGTGGAGGTGTCGATTTGGCGCGCTGGGCAGTCCTGCGGGGTCGAAAAGCTGTTCGCTTTGTCGCCAATCACAAGGCATTCCTCTGCTATTGTTTAATTAACGTATGAAGTGCAGACTTCGAGACATCCCGACAAATGGTGCACGTTTTGCATATTCCGTCCGACGATGATTGCTGGCTCCTATCTTGCACCTCGTGACCGGAGACCTTTAGTTAACGTTCTCCGTGCCCCTCATGCAGCTCCTTGACGTGGACGGCGTCACGGGGGGGTTCAACTTCCAGGTAGGCACCGGAGACATTCGCTCCCCCCCAAAGCTCTCATGTGAGAGTAGAAACTGACGCCGTTCATTCAGAGAAGGATCAGGATAACAGTGGCTACGATTGTCGGCCCTTCTCATTGACTGCCTGTGCTCTCTCAGAAAGGTTCGCCATCGGATGCGTTCCAGACAAGAAGGGGCCATTCGTCTCCCAGCCAATGCTCGTTTGCCCGCTCTTGGGGATGTAAACCTTCTTGCATTGATTTTTGAACGGTGGGTTTTCCTGAGAATCGTGACCCTTTCAAGAAGCTCACTTTATGAAGACATACTCGGGACGCGAGACTCACAACGGTAAATAGGATGCTGTATGCAGCATTCGACTTGCTGCACTCGTGGCCGATGGTTGTACTGAAGATTCAGATTGCTCAGCATAAAGCGTCTCTCGTCGCTCGTGCAGAACGCTTGGACGGGAGGATACATTGCAGGCTCCACCATTGCAAGGGCTGCCGGGGAGTTACTTGCAGCAGCAGGCACGCACCTCGAGTTTGAAGAAGAGGCCCAGGCAGCAAGTTGCTGATTGATTTATTACAAGGACATTCAGTCGGTTCTGCACTTTGTGAGAGATAAGGGCCAGATCGTCGAGATCCTCTCCTTCTGCTGCGGAGCCTTCAAGATTGCGTTCCCACGCACTTGGCTCATTTTCTGAAGCGATGGAATGTTAAACGTATGCAATGCTCTGATTGAATGCACTTATCGCTAGATTGGAGTCTTGGAAGTGAGATGCGGCTGGAAGGCTTCATATATAGGAAGCTTTTGGGATAATAGGCACATGCTTCGCTGATGCTAGCTTACGAGAGTGGTATTATGATGCTCGCATGGCGATGTTCTTCATGCTCGCATCGTGCTCGATTCCTGCATGCGTCCCAAAGATAGTATTGGGCCTTACACCAAGTTAGCACGTATGTACGTGGTATGTACACATTCGATCAGAGTCGATCAACCGATACAGTGAACTGTTACATTGTGAGTTGTGACGCTGTCTTGCCGTACTGACTCAGTCGAGGTTGGACCGTGTCCGCTGCGCTCAACAAATGCAGTCGAAGCGAAAAAGAGGCGAAAAAGCATGTTGCCTACATTCCAATGTACGTGTAGAGGAACCTTAACTCACTACAACAGACCGGAGCCGAGCCTCGGATTGATATCGTTGGAGCGTAGAAGCCTCTCAGCAAGTCAATTGCTTGTAACACAAACCTTGTATGCCCCGAGAAGCCTATGGGACCATCAGTCGGACGGCCATGCAGCCGGCCTGCTCAGTAAGTTCCACTGATTTCACTTAGCGCGGCCGGGGCGGCGCGAGCAAACCCTCCCGGTACCACATCCACAGAGGTTGAGTTCGCGGTACGTACTTCACGACACTCTCAAGCACTCTGACGGGGCAAACTCGTTGAGGAAGAGCCACTTGGCTTCCAGCTACGGGACAGCTAGGGAAAGTCGACGTGGGCTTGCCAGGTGGCCAAGTCCGGATGATGCGCTACAGCAGGCCCGGGACTCGTTCCTCCTCAAACGCCCCCGCGATCCTGCAGGGACCGTGCGTAACGCTGCCGGATACGAGTCTGCCACGTCAGCAGACTGCAACGAACCAGCAGCCATGCATGCACCTCGCAGAGATGCGGTTGCAAGACTTCGCCGCGGCGGAGAAGGATAAGAATCATCGCTTCCACCTTTCAACGAACAGATCAACATTCTTGCATTCCAACAACTTGAGAGTTTGCCCTCCTTGCCGTTGCAAACGCTCCAAAAACTCACCAAGGTTCCTACCAAAACTAAGTAAGAAACATGGCCAACGAGCTCTTCGCTGGGTTGGGTGTATTGGCCGCCGCCGGCATTGCATGGCTGGTGATCTCCAGGTGAGACACTTTGGCATTTGAGGGCTTTGACTCGGTGCTTGGCAGACGTCACTGTAAGCTTTAAGTGCTAGAATAGCTGCTTCCCTAAGAGAAAAGATTGCTCAGCAATCGCGCGCTGTCTTCTTTGCGTTGCTTCTCTCCTTCAAAAGGTAGCTGCTGATAGCCTGACAGATTGATTCTGACCATCTTCAAGACAAGGAATTGAGCATGACAAAAGGTTTTGCATGCAATCTGCACCTATTCTTAGTGGTAGGGGCTCTGTGGCATAATGGTCTTTCGACAACATGCTGGACAGAGATAATTGTAGTCTAATGGTTGAGCCAAGGCTGCCCTGTAGTGCTTTCCAGAGTAATGGCCTCTTAAACGCACTTGTCTATCAAGTCCTATAGATGGGGGAAGTTGTGACTTTGACTGTATCCAATTGGTGCAACATATGAATTGCCTGGCTTGCTGGTTAGCCACAACCCATTACTGAGCGAGCAATTTAGAGAGAGGTAATTGCATGCCATTGCACTCAAGCCGAGTGGCCGTCCTAAGTTCTGGGGTTCATATTCAACGTGCATGGATTCGTCAAATGTATCTGGATGGGTGTGGAAGGTGTGTACTAATGATTTGTTTTGCTTTTTGCAGCAATGGAGACAGGAACAAGGCTGAGAGGAAGTTCAACAATGCTGCGGATGATGTTAAGCACAACGCAAAGCAGGCTGGTGAGTTTGATACCCTCGATGATCTTACCTCACTTGACAGTTAGTTGCTTTCTATGCGTGGATATTACCGTGGCTTCAAGCATGATCAAGCTATGGATGAAATACCTTTTGACATGTACGAGACCTCTACAACATTCGGACTATTTGCATAGGAAATAACACCTCTGCTGCTCTGACTTTATGTGACAGCGATCTTGATGGCTTCGCTCTCAAGATGAGAAAGTTACAGAACACTGACGGTTCTGACAAATGCTGATGGAAGTTGGCAATTCTTTCTGCCTGATGTGGTGATAAATCTGTTCTCTGACCTATTCTCTGCTTGCATCTGCAGGACGTGATGCTCGGGGAGCATGGGAAGATACCAAGGACAGGGCTCGTGATGCAACCAGATAAAAAGCTAGCCTAAATTAGTCTGTGTATAATCATTGAGTCAATTTTGCAAAACAGTCGAGTCAGTCCCTTGGACACATACAGAAATTGTTCCCATCCTTTTGAACACATGGTTATGAAAGTGACCTGAACAAGCACGTGATGTCATATCAAGTGGCCATCTTCGTTGTTGACAATTCATTAGTTGAACAATGAAATTGCAATCGCAATCCGCTAAATATTGTGCCAACTGCCCTCTACTACACTCTACTACGTTCCACGTACAGCACTGAGTTTGCAGCAAAAAGTATGAATGAACAAATCAGGTTTCTCATCATGAACATCATGAATATACTAGTACAGCATAATGTGTGAAAATCATATTCGAAAACTCACATGTGCGAGCTGTGTAGAGCAATACTATTGTACAACATGATGTGTGAAAATGATATTCGGAAACTGACATGTGCGAACTGTATAGAGCAAAACTATGAAGTAAATCTGCAGTCTTTTCCGATTATGTGCCAAACCCATTGAAATTCTGAAAAAGCATACATTTTTGTATTGTTACCATCAGACCTGATTCGCAGTTGAGTCCGACTGATATGTAACACCAACAATGAAATAAGATATGAAAATTTCTCCGGAACAAGGTTAGGACATTCACGTACCGAAACCAAAACTCTATCACTTTTCCCTACTACTAATTCTAATCAAACTATTGACAATACATTTTATAATATACATAGGTACTGTACTCTCTCGGTTGGTATACAGTGCAAATTGGCGTTGCAAATCTAGTACCATTTCAATTCTTGCAACTTTATCGCAAGCTGGCGTTCGACAAAATCCACCATCACGATCGCCGCGGGGCGAAACTTATTCTGGATTCAACAGATTAGCTTGTCTCACGTTCGCGGTATATGCAACAGCTGATTACTACTCTTCTCAGCGACATGCCGTTGCACCATGATTATCATGCAATAGATATATCGAGCAGCCTTTCGGAATCCACGTATACATGTCGCAAATTCATTTCGAATCCAACCCTGGCAGTAGAGAACCCTTTGCATGAGGTCACAGAAAGGAAGAGTATAATGAACATCATGATTACATAGGTTTCAACCCAAAGCTCTTCCGAAGTTTCTCGAACACGTAAAATGTGATTATTGTGTGAGGACCAATGCGCAGCCAAACAGGAAAGAACCCCTTGTACAAGCCGAAGAAGCCTTCAGTCGCACACGTCTTTCGAAGACAATCGGTCGCTGACGTATAGAGCGCACCTGCGTTGCTTCCGTCAACACGTATCGCCTGCTGCATGATCCTGCACGCCCGTTTTGACTTTACTTCAGAAACTTCGTCATCAGCGGCAACAAAACAAAGCAGGAAAGATCATCCGAACACGCCGTTGCGACTAAATGTTGCAAAACGAAGTAAAGAAAGAGAAGCCCCTCTGCCGGAGCTCATCCTTTTCTCAGCGGCCTGACGTACTCGGAGGAAGGTCCGAAAAACACACGATCTGCTAACTTGGGCACAATCCGGTCCGGCCAAGATCAAAGAACTGTTTCGCACGTCGTCATTTCCGCCATGCAACTCAAGGTGGGGTTGGAACTTCAAGTATGGGACAGCCTACCTGGTTTTGACGAGGTCGACAGGCGCGGTCACCAGCGCGGTGATCAGCCCAGCCGTCATGGAAGCCGTGAGGTGACACACGGTGCCCTCCCGCATGGCCCCACTGCTCAGAAGGAGATGCTTCGTGTGGTCGTAGCTGGACACCTGCGTGCCACGTGTGCATGCACGTGTCCGCGTCTCTGTTCAAGAACTCAGATAATTACAAAGGAGGAGGGTTCGCCGCACATCCTGTTCTACTCTCAAACGCCATCGTGCGGTCTGAGCCTGATCCGGGTCAGCCCTTCGACAACATTTACTGTCTCCCGTAAAGCAGTCGGGTGAACGATAGAAAGCGAAGCAAGGGCGTGCGCACGAGAACCCCCAATCCCTGACTCAGGAACTTTGCTCTATTTGCGAAACCAACACGATCTGACACCAATTCCATCCAGGACTGCAGCAGACCCGTCACCTGAGCTGCCGTCAGAAGCCCCGCCCGCTGAACGGTAGGCCCGACGCCCCGGTAGAGCCCCCGCAGGCCTTCCTCCGCAGCAATCTGCCGAAAGGCCCCTAGTGTGCTCTTGTATTCTTGTGGCCGGTGCAACACCTGACTTTGCGTCAACTCAACTCTTCTGGCTTGCATCCGAATCATGACGACGTCCGTAGGGTTTGCGATGGCGGAGCCGATCATCCCGGCGGTAGCGGATGCAACGAGCTTCTTCCAGAGGGGGGTATGTGCGGGGTCATGTGCGCCAAGTAACTGCAGATTTCAGAGGTGCAACTTTCCACTCAATGGCCTTTAGAGAATGTGAGCACCAGTGTGGCGGAAGGCTTCCTTAGGTCTGTGTGCAAGTTCATGTGGACGAAAAGGCCTTGCAGAAATGCCCCAGCAGGCTTCAGTGCTTTCAGTTCTCTTTATGCATGCCAGCTGCCCTATAGAATGCAATGCTGTGACTCATTAGGATCTATGGAATAATAGACACACAGAAAGAAACGAGTCGTATGCAGGTACAGGGCCTTGCTTCCTGAAGAAAAGAAGTTCCGAGGCTGAGAAGGACACGCGTGTTCGCCCCTAAGTAGGAGTATGCATGCCCAATGCAGGCAAGTTGACCTAGGCAGTCAGTGGGCGTGTCACTTGAGTTTTCGTCGTGGCAGGACATCAGCTGCAGAGGGGCACAGGTATTCACCTCCTTGAGAGGCTCATATGCCCCCATCCTGATGGAAGAATAAGATGCCTCTCTCAGGAGTGCGGCGCTGGTGCCTTTCCAGAGCGCCAGCACTCCCTCCTCTTGTGCAATGCGTGCGATGCCCCGGAAGATGCCCTTGTAGTACCTTTCCTACAGACAGCGGAACAGATGTCAATCTTGCCAGCGAGAAGAATGTGCAAGCTAACTGCATCTGTCAACATCTGCAACCGTTGCTGCTTTACGCTATTTCAGTGGAGCTGTTACATCCAAGCTCAAACTTGCGCAGGACGCCAGTGGACCATTTGTTTTGCGGCACTTGAGCGGGGGCCCAATGCCTTTTTGGCCCAGAGATTGCAACTTCTTGATCATTTGCACTAAGGTTGGCTTTCAAGATGATTGTCGCGCTTTGATCACGAGAAAACTTTCTGACCACCAGATGTTTCCTGCGGAATGCAGTCGTCCTTATTTCCATGTACTCTCAGCGAGACGTGCTTGCTGCAATCAACACGTGACCAAACTTCCACTCTCAGCAAATTCGCACCTGGCCAGCAACAAGAGCCCCGTCAAGCTGCATCCTGACTTTAACAACGTTGACAGGATTCGTGATTGCTGCAGCTGTCATGTTGCTGACTCCTGCCAGTGAAAATCGCAGGGCGTGGCTGTGAAGGTGGCTCTTGAAGGCATCTGCAAAAACAATTTACATCTTTGTGAAGAGGTCGTCAAATGGAAGGGCATGCGGCCTATCTTGCTCTCGATCAACTCTGAACTTTCAGAGGAGAAGTTCGCGGTCCTCATAGAAGTCATCATTTGGAAAAAGGTGGCGCCAGACAGTCACTTAAGGGACCACTTCGCCATACTCGCAGGGGAAAAGGAAATTATGAAGAAGAGCTTTGTGAAGAGCTTTTCTGGACTTAACCTTTCCTTTCCACACCTCCTTGCACCATGGTTGAAATCTGGTCATTAAGAAGACCGTCCTTTTCTCAGCGACAACTCATTGTGAAGCACTAGTGCACTCCTGCAAGCAGAATGCCTTTTGCCTTTCCGTCAAAGGCAGAGCTGCCCTCATTTGCAAAGCATTGTGAGAGAGTATGGGGCCTGCTTCATCCTGTAGCAATTTGCGATACCCGCTAGGAGGCCTTCAGGTCCCAAAAGCTAACCCCTAGACCTCTATACTCCGGAAGGAGCATGTGTTACAGATGCAGACTGTTAGCATCGTCGAAATTCATGCAAATATGTGGAGCGGAAGACGTCATGGAAGAACTCTTCAGCTGGACTGTCTGCAAGGGCCTGTTTAGCTGGCGGCCAAGGCGTCAAATCTTGGAAAGAGCACGGGGGGGCTGGCTGCTGACATAGACCTCCAGCTTCGTCTGTGCAGAGCAAGGAGTCCCAAGTTTGAACTCAAGGGGCACCCATGCAATGCGGCTGAGTGAAATTCTCTCTGTTCAATTTGAGCAAGCTGCCGCCTTCTCCGCCACAGGCACTGACGCCGACGGTGTGTGTATAGTCTTAAGCAGTAGACTTGTAGGTTCATAGACACGTGCTCCAAAAGTTCCTCGGTTACTTTCGACGACGAAGGGTTTTGGGGCCTAGCAGGGAGCAGCTGTCGAAAACCGAGAGCCGTGCGCGCGAGCGAAAAGTCTCTCCTTTGCGGATCTTTTGTTAGCAAGGGTTCGGACACGATACCTATGTAGTCCTGCACGCAGCTACCAAGTCTATATCCTAGCACCTGCTCGGACCTCAGCTCTTCCTGCACTGCAGCCATGTACGGGTCGGACCTACCTAAGTTGATGGCGGGAGAACCAAGTCCGCCCTGCCCCTTTGCCATGGGACCCTAGCGCGTGCCCAGATATATGGTGCAGAGATGCGAGCTCTCCTACTTCAGGAGTCTCTGCATTTGAGCTCAAGCCTCATCAAGGTCTTCGAACCAGACGCCATGGGTCGTCAATGTTTATGTTGAAGCTAGCTGTCACTTACAATGTGGCGCAAACGCAGCTCTGTAGCAGAGTCCAACATTGCACATGGGTCACTTTGGCAAACTATTCAGCAGCATATGAGCTGTGATGCAGCCCCTTTCTAGCTCAGCCCTAGCATGGGTTTGACGAGAGTCCACCCTCTGCCCTCCAAGCTACGTCCAGCTGCCTCGCATGAAGTCAGCGATAGTCTGGGTGATGTCAGCGCAGCCAAGAAGGCCGCAAAGAAGTTGAAGCAGGTGTACGATGAGAGCAAGCTGCTGCGGGAGTTTCTGTTGTATCTTGCATTTGTTGCAGTCTTCTCTTTTGTCAGCTTTTGCTCAAAGCCCGGGATCACTCAATACCACCTGACTACGGAAGCAAAAAGTGTCTGGGGTCCAACCGACGTCAACCAGGTTGCTGACATTTGGACTTGGTTGGAGAACACCTTTTTGACCACCACCTATCCTCAGGTTGACTACAATGGGGGGCTGTTGGACCGCACCAGTCGTCTATATGTTCTGGGTCAGGTATGCGCATGACTGTTTAAATTTGCTTTAGTTTCCCATTCTGAGGTACTGCGTGAAACCTTCTTCTACTTGTAAATGTTCTTATCCTCAAACCCAAGGATTTTTTTCTTCTTAAGAACAAAGCTTCTGAATGCTGATCAACAGTAAATAGTTCAGTGAATGTTTGTGGCCATCATTTGTCCATAATCACACCTAGAACCAATCACCACCCCTTTCCAAGGAAACATAAATTCAAACTGCTCTTTTGAATTTCCTTATACCGATGGGGGATTGATGGCCTCGAGCGCCTGCTTTGCTGACAAAGATTATTCTTCTGCTTGAAGATGAGACCCCAGTCCATGAGTACTCGCGCCCTGCTCAAACAGCTTGGTTCAAGCACACCACTCGGGACAACAGGCTATCAAAGCTTTCAGAACAGTATCTACTTGACCAGTGAATACGCATAGCGTATTTGGTTGTCATCTCAAGACGTCCTGACTCTTTAGAGTGGTCTGCTTGAAGACATGACTGTTGGCCGGACATCAAGCTATAGAATATGTTGAAGCACCCTTTACAATCCCGGATGGTATTGACGGGTCTACATTTCTTTCAGTCTCTTTGTCTTTTTTGCTCTCCGTTTTGCGTTAGGGGATTGAGTTTTTCATTGAGTTCTGCGTTCTTCACCGCATAGCTTCTACAAAAACCACTTCTTCTCTCTGCACAGGCTCGCCTGGCCGGGGGCATCCGCCTGCGTCAGGTGCGCAGCCGCGACGTTCCGTGCCAGATCCCGGGTAGCCTCAAGCAGGTCTACGGACAAATTCAGCAGTGCACGTCACCGTACAGCTCCAGCAACCGGGATCATGATCCGGTCTTAGCGGACCTGGCACCACCGCAGAACTTCACGCTGCCGCTTTTGTACCAAGACTACGGCGCGCTGAACACCTCCTCCTGGTACTGGCAGGTGAGAGGGCTCATGCGAAGGTCGCGGGTAGCCTGGGCTAGTCTGGTTTGTTTGTTGATCTCGAGTCCGTGGCGATCTTCAATTGGCGAAGCCTGGTTCGTCTGGAATTTTCAGTTTTGCAGCTATCTCTGATCTGCAAAAACAGATTGGCGCAAGCCGATGGTGCACGACATTCTGTCGTCCAAGTGGTCAATGTTTTGAAAACGTTTCTGCTTCTGGGTTGATGCAATGGTGCGCTTCGTGGACCTAGCTTTAAGCTCGACTACGATACAGTACATGTGATCAGATGATCATTTTTCCAAAGATTCTTCAAGTTTTAGAGAAAAATTCAGCTGTGGGTCGCATCTACACAAAAAAACAATAAAAAACGCAGAGAACGGCGTCAGCAAGATCTACCTCAACCTTGGATAATGTCACTTCGAGGTAATCCTGAATCAAACAACAATCATTCTTCCAGGCTGGCGATTACAGCAAGTATTCCCAGGACGGCTTCGCCCTCGACTTGATCCCGAACCTTGGGCCGAAGGATCTAGCGAATCTGGTGCTAGGCTGCAGGCCATTTTTGGAGGCGGGGCTCCGAGCCTGCATGCAAAAGCAGGGTGTCAGTGCACCGTCAATTTATGGGCAACGCATGGCACAAAATGGTGAGAATGCCTTGCAGCCTCGTAAGCACTGCGTCAGACATACTGTCTAGCGAGGAGAAGCCTGGAGGTCTGCAGTGCTAACAAGAAAACTGTTCAAGTGCCTCTATTGAAGGCCGTATAGAGACTCAGACAACCAGAGCAGGCTTGACATTCAAGACGTATCATCCATTACCAGCAGTCTGCTTGATGCTTCTTACCCGTCGGTTCTTCGGCCACCCTTTTCAATCTGCTCTGTTGTCCTTGAAGGGCGTCCTCAATCTAATAGGTCTAACATCCGTTCCAAGGGGCTCCCACCTTCGACGACATATACCACTAAAAGGCACACATTTGTCATCCTTCTCGGAAAGGGAAATGTTCGTCATTCTTCTCGGAACAACATCTCTGTTCTCGCTGATGCTGGAAAGGACCCAATCTGTGTTTAATTTACAACTTCTTCCCCCGCCACTTCCCCGGTCCTCTTCTATCTGCATTCAGAGCGAACCGCTCGTCCATCCCTGATTCTCTCCTATTGCAGCTGAACCAGAGAATATTGCAAGGCTCCTTAAACCCTCCGATACGATTCTCCGTTCAGGCTCTCTACCCGCTCCTCTTCCAAACTGCAACCAGAGCGACCCGCTGCTCGTCCCCCCCTCCCTCGACGTATCCCGCTGCGCGGCCGTCTGCCCCAGCATGCCCTACGTCGGTTTCCAGCAGCTGCTCCAGCTGGCGAGCGACGCGCAGTGCGGACTGTGCGCGTGCCAGCCGGACCTCAGCCCCGTGTGCAGCCAGACCTGCAAGTGAGCACGATGACGTCAGCACGACGTCAGCATTAATCCGATCTGTTCGTTGTGGGGAGTGATCTGGCGGCATTTTAGCGAGCTTTCTGGAAGAGTACGACGAGGGGCAACAATTGCGGGCAGTATCGCATTGTGGGTCGCCTCAGCAAACAAGTATCTACATTCTGGAATGTGGCACAAGAAATAGAGAAGCATTTCTTGCGCTAAGAGGCGCAAAGAGCGCTGGAGTGCACACCCCGAACACCTCGCCCGCTCAGGTCGACGGCACTACATGTCTTCTGGCAACAAACTTCACCTTCACTTTGTTTTCAATTTTCACTCGTGGCACCGCAGTGTGACCCACGCCTTGTCTCTTGCAGCGCTTCGGCGCTCGCCTCTCAGCAGATGGCCCTCCTGCAAGCCAACGACTGGATCGACCACAAAACCCGCGCGGTTATCGTAGACCTAACCCTCTTTGAGGCGGACTACAACCTGTTCACCACCGTCCGGGTTCTCTTCGAGCTGCCGCCGTTCGGGGGAGCGTACGGAAAGCCCGTGGTGCGGACGAACCGGCTGTACAGATACGTGACGTCAATGGACAAAGTCGTGCTCGCGTTCGAAATCATTTTCTGCGCCATGGTCGCCTGGTGAGTGACTCAGCCTAGGGGACGCTGTTTAGATTGAGAGCTTTTCCTGCTTTGGTTGACGACCGGTAACGGTATTGCCAATTGTCGCAAAAGTTGCTTAGGGCTGGCTTTTGAAGACTCGTGATGCTTTTGGCGGCCAACGACGTTCACGCACATCGCAGCACGTCATCAGACGCAACCCACATTATCATGGAGAGCTTCGCACTCAAACTTCTTGCGATCCCTGACCCCTGCTTACCAAAGCAAAGCATTCCTTGTATCAAGTTTCTTAGGTACAAAGCTTCTGCGATTGTCAATCCGGGGCTTTCAACCATCAGACCCTCGCTTACTCGACTCTCTAGGAGAATCTAGCCAGACGGGATGCCAACATGTAGTAAAGTCGTTCTAACTTGCAACTGCCGTGCTGTGCCAGGTACACTCTGGAGGAAGGCTTTGAGCTGTACTGGGAGGGCTGGCGGGCATACTTCTCCCAGGCGTGGAACATCTGCGACTGGGCGAATCTGGTTATCTTTTACGCGGTCATCGCGCTGCGGGTTACCGCCCTGGTCAGCCTTAACCGCTTTCGCTTGGAGGCGGACACCACCAAGTACGTCGACTTTCAAGCCATCGGCTATACGTCAACGCAGGTGCGTATTTGGAAACAACAGGGCTCAGTACTTACCCTCGTCGTGCTTCGCGAGCTTCCTGGGCTTGTGTCTGGTTTAGATGCAATTCGTTCGCTATGTTCTAAATCATGTAACTTGGTGGTCTTGGAAACGAACCCTCACGCACAGACGAAGCCGAATATACAGCAACTGGATTCTTGCTCTGTCTCTATGGCCGTTCTGATGTTCGAAACCTTGGGGAAAGGTTTGTGATCCAGGAAGCTAGCTCTGACCATCGCAAGTGCGCTTGAATGCTCTGGAGATAATTCGGTCTCTTCGCCATTTAACCCCGTCCTTATCGTTTCCAAACATTCCACGCAAAGTCGCTCTCCGTCGCACCCCCAACTGGTGCCTCACCTTCTCGGGGGGTCCTCCGGTGTTACGATCCCTCCTAAGCGTTGCGCTCTTGCCGTAGAGAAAGCTGATGTGCCCCCGTTTCGCGGCGCAGGAGCTCAACGTCAGCGCGCTCAACTTCTTCCTGGTCTACTTCAAGCTGTTCAAGTTCCTGAGCCGCGTTCCCCGCATGGAGGTCATCCTCTCGACGCTGACGCTCGCGGCCGTCGACTTATGCCTCTTCTCCGTCACGGCGGTCATCATCATGTTCGGCTTCAGCGCAGCGTTCTACGTCTGCTTCGGGATGGAGGTAAGACATATGCTTTTTCCAGAAACAGCGATGCGGAATCTTTTCGAGTCAATCAGAGGTAAGAAGGCGGAGTCGCTGCATCAACCACAAGGAAGAAGCATGTGCCTCTTGAAGGAGGCTGAACTGTTTTGTTGGTAAACCTAAATCAAGAACGAGCGACGTGGAAAGGTACACAGAAGGGGTTTCCGAACTTTACATTAGGCGCTTTCTCCCCCCTGCTTTTAGACAAGTCGATTGTTTCACCCGTCAAGGTACTGAGCCCTTCAATTCCAACTAACAGCATTCACTCCGCAAATACAAAGTGTCGAAGCAGAAGCCAAAAGAGGCCATAGCACTCCGCGAATGGAGTAGATCGGACCAGAAGCTCTCTGATTCCACCAGAAAAGAGCACCAAGTATTTCGCTTTCTCACGCCCTGAGTTCACGGAACCACACCCTAACAGCCTGTCTCGCGCTTACCCCTGTAGGTGTACCGGTGGCGCACGCTGGGCGCCTCGCTCGGTTCGCTGGTGCGGCTTATTTTGGGCGACATCGACTACGACTCCATGGTGCAGGCGAACGCCATCATGGCGCCCATTCTGTTCTACACGTACGCCGGCGTCGTGTGGTTCATTCTCATGCAGATGTTCGTCGCCATCATCACGGAGTCGTACCAGGAGATCAAGGACAGCCAGCAGGTGCGACGGCGGTACTTCATTACTCCAAAGTTACTTTTTTCTGGACTCTTTCTTGGTGAAAGCTCGTGACTCTTCTTGGTGATAAGATCGTGACTGAAATTATTTGTAGCAATCAGCATGCAGATCTGTTCGATATTGGCTCGCCTCTTCCTCTTAGGAAGAGAGGAACCATAGGGATCGGCCTTTCGGCCACTGTACGACGCCGCGGCGCGGGCCTGCCGTTCGACCTGCTTGGGTTGGCTGTGTTCGACGATAAAACGTACAGTCTGGGTCTCTATATTTGACCATATAACGGTGCGAGATTTTCCCGGTCTGGGCTGCGCGGGCGGCGCAGTCAACGCTTCAGAATCGAACATTTTGGTCCAAACGC